ACCGTCTTTTTCCCGACAAACATTCTCCAGTTTTTTGGTCTACCATAAAATTCACCTTTATTGTCGATTTGGTACAAATTTGGGGAGGGGGTGCAATCGAATCGCGCCAACCAAACCGATCTGATTGGTTGAATTTCATTGAGAAGGCTTTGATTGGTTAATAATTTTGAGTTTCGCTCAACTGAAGTAGCCAATCAAATCGATTTTAATTCCAACGAAATTTCACTCGAAATACTGTACTACAATACTGTACTACTGTTAAGCATTTATTTCTACGTAGTGCTACTATTAATATATTAAAGCGTGCATTGTATTGAAAATATAAAAATCTAAGTTACTTACAGTTTCAAGGCTACTTAGTTTGGTTAATATTTGCTTGAATTTAAAGGACAATGTTTACGTAGACAGCTTGGCCGAGCGGTTAAGGCGATAGACTAGAAATCTATTGGGGTCACCCGCGTGAGTTCAAATCTCACAGCTGTCGATGTATTTTTCATCGAAACGACAACATACTACTCCAGTAGTATCTTTTCATCCACCCAATACAGTATGTAAAGGATGTATGAATATTGTCGATTTGATACAAATTTGGCGAGGGGGTGCAATCGAATCGCGCCGACGGAACCAATCCACCATCGATCTGATTGGTTGAATTTCATTGAGAAGGTTTTGATTGGCTAATAATTTTGAGCTCATCTGAAGTCGCCAATCAAATCGATTTAAATTTCAACGAGAATCCACGCCACAACACGAAATTTCACTCGAAAGCACAATACTTGTTAAAATACTTCGAAGTACGTGTTAGTATGACTAGTAATCTTCATTCGCCCAACCACGTAATTCAACCGCGTGATCGACATCCCACCCGTTTGGTCGTGATGTCCAGTTCGACTTGATGTCCTTGAACGACGGTAGGGCTTCCCAGTCGTTAAATAGCGTCGACACCACGACTGTATCGTCATGGCGACTGGCAACATGCACGACGCATGCTTCCAATTGATCTGGCAACTGAACATGTTGAATCACGCCCCACAAGTCTATAAACTGCCTCTGGCATTTGGATCGCATCATGGTCAAAATATGGTCTCGCGTGGTGTCTGCATGCAGAGGCGGGTACTCGCGAGCTAGGGCCAAGTACTGCAACGCTGTCGCATAAACTGAGGTTGGAGAAGCGGACAGGGCCGCAGGGTTTTGCAGCAATGCGGTGGCGCTCATGACTCCAGCGCATCCGGTGTACTTGATGCACTCTACCGCGTGCTGCCGCGATTGGATTCCGCCGTTGGCCAACACTGGAATGGCCACAGACTGCCGGATTTGTCGGATGGCATCCCAGTTGCACGTGCCTTCGTGGTGCCGTTGAGTGCGCAGTCGACCATGGACCGTCAGCATCGAACAGCCTGCGTCTTCTAGTCTAATAAAAGGGAATGAGATGCATTCGCCATTGCAGTTGAGCTGACGAGTTCGAGGGAATATCATACATACCGACGGGCCAGGTCAATGGAGGCGCGAATGTCTTGTTGAATGCGAATCTTGCATGTGATGGGAACCTTAGCCACGTGGACCATGGCTCGAACAACCTGTTCAACGAGGTCGGGGTCGTCGAGGAGATACGCGCCAAAGTGGCCAGTGCGAGCACATCGCTGCGGGCAGCCCAGGTTCAGGTCAATGCCGTCGCAGCGATGCTGGAGGAGGGCAACCGCCGTTGCAAGAGTGATTGGGTCGTTTCCTGCTAGCTGGACAATCAGCGGCCGATCTTCATCAGCGGTGGCGAAGAATTGGTGCGAAACGTCGATCGTTGCATCCATAGAACCAGCCGCGGCAGCCACCACATCTGACGCGACAAACATCGGCGTGAATGCCAACTGGCATCCCAAGCGTCGTGTGAGAAGGCGAAAGGCTAGCTCGGACTGCCGCACCATTGGGGCACACACAAACTGCGGCGCGCCGAGTACGTTCCTGTACCACGACCATGCATCGTTGTTTGTCGTCATGGTAGCTTTGACCTGGCAATTATCCGGATATTCACCACGTTTGATTGGCCCATAGATTTCCGAATAAGTTGTACATTCATCCGGATTACATTGGTGCTTCAGTCTCATTCGAACTTCGCCAAGCATGTCGCCGTACCGATCGCTCGAGCTCTTCAAGTTCACGCTCTACGTGACTGGTATGGGAAGCATGCATCGTCACTATCTGTGCTCATGTAACGTCCTGTGTTCGTGTATGTTATAGTGCCCATCGTCACCACGTATGTGTACATGCAGCCTGATATTGTGAAGGCAATCGTGACGAAGGTAAGCCGTTTGACATGTCTGGAGTTGAAATAATCACGACGTGGTGGGGTGTGTCCTTGTAGCTCGACTACATCAACTACCCCGCGCAAGAGTTTACTCGTGATGAAGTGATGGAGCAACTGAAGAAGGGTAGAGAGGAGCGCAAACGCAATTAGTCTGACTTTTTTGGCAATCAACATTGTTTTACCCGTCTTACTCGTTTCAGAAGAACAGTCGACTTTTCACGTCGAATATCATGGTGTACACAGAGGCAGGAGTCCCATCTACAATGCCCCACAGCAGTACGCAAGTGGAGGGCTGCAGCGTCCAATTGTTGCACCTACGAACTCTATGCACACACCCTATGCATCCGATGCACAGATAGAATGCATCACTTCCCTTCCATGTGCATCATATATTCGTGCGGAATTGCCTCATGCGATGCCAATGACTTGGAAGCCATTAAAAAGCTTTACCAAGCGCCACTTCTTTCACACACATAACGCATTTAATTGTGTCGCCTTACACTATTTACAGTTCCTTCGAACAACTACAAAGATCGAAACGTCGTGTTCGTGGCGAATATGGGCCCAACAGATGCTTCGAAGGTAAACGATGACGACGACCTTCTAGACGCAGGTTCCCCCACTGGAACTCTGCGATGGACACCGCTTCAATACGCATGTGCTGCTGGAGACATCGCCGTAGCCACGACTCTGCTCGAGAATGACAACAACCTTGTACACCAAGTGGGTCAGGTACACAATTGCCCAGCATTGGAAATCGAATGACCTTCGATTGAGAGTAGTACGATACATGTAGACCCAGGGCAAGTACACAGCGCTCCATGTTGCAGTTCAGAGTGGGCATAAGGACATTGTGCAGCTTCTTTTAGCGCATGGTGCGGTAGTCGACGCCGCCGACACTGTACGATCAGTCATATTCGTGCAACTGAATCATTCATATGGCGATGATGCTAGCGCGGCTTTACTCCTCTACATATCGCAGCCACCATGGGTCTACTCGATATGGTGGCTCTACTGCTCCAAGCAAATGCCACACAGCAACCTTCCAAGGTCCACATAACCTGCAATCTTTTCCCAATAGCTATCCCAACCAACCATTTCATGTCTTCATCATTCTACATTCGTCAGGCTGGCACCCTTCCCATCGAGTGCGCCCATGCCACCGGGTTCGACGAGATAACGGCGCTCCTGGGTCCTTCAACGCCATCCACATCTCCACGTACGTCCAGATTCATTCATTCATCTGCGACAAGGGGAATCACAACAATCACTAGCGTCGGACTCTGGCGTCCGGGACTGGCTTGCGTCGATCGGGCTGGGCCAATACGCCCATGCGTTTGTCCAAGCCGGGTTCGACGACGTCAACTTCCTCCACGAAAATGGACTGACCACTGAAGACGTCGTGGCGTTGGGGGTCGTGAAGCGCGGCCACCAGCTCAAACTCAAACGATTGTACCAGATCGATCGGTTTATTCACAAACCAGACGACGACACTGACAGCCATTATACCAGCAGCGACAACAGTAGTGAAGACGACAGTAGTGAAGGCGACGACGACGAATAGTACATTCTTCATAACCATCATCCGTCCATGGTTTGTGATGCTAAAGCTATGTTGTACCGTTAACCGAACGTACAGTTTTGAGAGAAAAGTTCGCCGATATGCCATCATAGTATGGCAAGTCAACGATGCTACCCGAATAACAGGCACTACCGTACATAGTAACACTGTTAGCGATCGCGTCCTCCTTCGTGATGATGGCAAAAGCACGTTAGCCAGGTTGATATGTAGCGTTCTACCAATGCAGTCTGTAGTACCAAGAGACGGGTGCTTCCAAGCAGCGCTGTAGCTGTCACAAGAATGCCCAATTGTGTATCCATTTGATTTGGCGCACTTCAACCAGGGCATCATACCGTTAGACGACGAATGCAATCGCGTCGAACGTTCCCCTGTCCAGGCTCTAAGGACCCCCCCATGCAGCCAGCCGAGACACGTTGCTCAGCCTCATAACGTACGAGGAACGACGATGGACGCAAAAAATCTAAATCTATTATGGTGCGGGGTCGTCTAGAAACTGGGCGGCGCCAACTGCTGCTCGCTAGTGTCGACGCCATGCTCGTCCGTGAATTCCTGTGGCGGAGGCGTAACCATTTTACCCAGTAGAATACCCAAGCCTTCAATGAGAGCCAGCAACGTCCCACCGATCACTGCTTGGGTAAGCGCGGCCCGCGGTCCCGAACGCATGGCTAGGGTCCCACCGGTGGCGGCACCGGCCAAGATGGAGTTCCACGGGTCTTCTTTCTGACGGATCGCCGCCAACGAGCAATCGTACGACGAAAACAGACACCCCCAGATCGCAAATTGCCCCGCGAGCATCGGACTGCGTGCCTTGACAGCAAACACAGCGCCGCGAACGCGTTCCCCGGGAGGAGAGTTGCGGGCGCCCTTGATGGAGTGAAAGATGCCGCCACCCACGGCACCCATGCCGAAGGCACTGCCCATGTCTTCCAGGATACGCCACGGACACGGTTCGCGCTCCATGGCCTTCGACGTCAATTCTGGTTTTTGCTCGGTCCATCTTCGACCAACAACTCCCGCAACGGTGATTGGTGGAAATGCTCGTCATGGGATTGGCCAATCAAACGCACAAAACGTGTGCTCACGTTTTGGGAATGTTGGTATCCGGACGAGAAGAGAATTTCCGGATACGGGAACTACGAAACTGTCAAACTTGGAAATCTTTGAAACGCCCCTGTCAAGTATATTTAGCTGCGAGTGTCAAATCTACCCCAACCACCCCACAGATATCGTCGCCAAGGTTGCCGCGCCTGCGTGAAGCTCATACACCTGGTGGATGGCGGAGATCGCGTATTATGACGGGGACCTCTCGGATGCCTTGACCAAGCTCGACCAAATTATGGCCAAGCTCTCCAAGGCTCCACCTGGCGTCAAATCCGAAGTACAACACATCTCTATTCATGCATGGTAGTTCTCTATCGAGGAGCTCATACGTCGTTTTGAAGGTGTTAGCGGAGGCCGAAAAGAAGCTCAAGGAAGTGATCGATTTGAAGAAGGGGTTTTCCCTCGCCCTGCGGCAAGTTACCGACCGCGAAGACATCAAGACATACCGGGAGGTAGCACTCTATCCCATGCTAACTTTATCATTCTCTTGATTCCCTTCCAATGATGCTTATCATAGAAAAACGACGTGTATGCCGCGCGGGTGGAAGAACTCACTCGAGAAGTGAAATGGGCCAAGACGGAGACGGACCGCAACGGTCTGTTCGGCGACGCCAAGGCCAAAGCGGCCAAAGTACCCACGGGCAACACGGATATGCTCAACAAGGCCCAAGAATTGCAAGGAAAAACCGAAGTGTCGTTGAAAAATACCCAAAAAATGATTGAAAACTCCAAAGAAGTGGCGCTCGCCACCGGGGAAACGTTGCGGGAGCAGCGCAACCAACTCAATGCGATCACAGAGGAAGTGATGCGCATGGACGACGGCGTGGCCCGTGCCAACAAGGTATGCTTTAGTTGATTCTAGTAGTAAGTAGTACTTCGAAGTAGTAAGTAGTAGTAGCCTTGATCCTACAATGTCCCACAAGTCATGATCGTCGTAGTTAATGCGCACGTTTACACGGCGCATGGCGACGGACCGACTCATCCTGTTCTTCACGTTTCTCGTGTTTGCGGGCATCGTGGGTATCATCGTGTACTCCAAGGCCAACCCAAATCAAACTACGTTTTATGTGCCAGATCAAGTCAAGCCACCAGATCCAGGTAAACTTAGGCGATTTGATTTGCATGTCCAAAAGTGATAGTGGTAGGTAGTATTGTGCTTTAGAGTGACATTTCGTGTTGTGGTTTCTCGTTGGAATTTAAATCGATTTGATTGGCTACCTCAGATGCGCTCAAAATTATTAGCCAATCAAAACCTTCTCAATGAAATTCAACCAATCAGATCGATTGTGGATGGCGCGATTCGATTGCACCCCCAAATTTGTATCAAATCGACAATAGTGACCTTGATATGGTTTGTAGGTGTGATTGCAAATGCCACGGGGATCAACACGTTCATTAACAACACGCTCAACAGCATTACCGGGTAAATGATGATTCAAGTGAGCTAGAACGCCTTGGATGCTTGTGGTCTTCAATATATTAACACACATTCGGCAGTGTTGGCGGTTGGTAGTTAACTGCTACTAAATACTACTCGAGTAGGACGCTACTACAACCCTTACTACGTACTATTAGTAGTTGAGAGCGATTCTATTACTACATAGTAAGCGGAATTGTACTACATGGAATGAATGTTTACGTTTAAACACCAGGTAGAATATCGTTTAAACGCAATACGTTTAACTTGTTTGACTCGAGTCCCTGTTAAAACGTATATATATAAAATGTAAGAAGGGCATTCTTAAGGTCCAATCAAGCGGTGTGTTGCATTGGTTGGTGGGTGGCCGTGGCTCGGAAGTGGTGGCGAACGGTGGGACGATGCCATTCCCAGATTTAGAGTGCGCAGGACGGCGGTATGGAGACGAAGGAGCAACGAGTAGATACGGCGCACCATTTTACCAACTGACCCCCTCTATGTGGGGTGAACAGTTAAAGTTGGTGCGAATAGCAACACCCTTGTGTTTTGCTGTGTCATTGCCTGACGGGGACCTTGTCTCAAACATGCTGGAACGCGCTGTCGTGGCACCGAAGTGGACTCACCCTCTACATTAGGCACGCGACGGCGACGACTGGTGGGCGATGGCTGCCGAGGCCGTGCCGATCCTTGTGATTGGCGTTGCATCGGAAAAGGCGGGAGGGGAAATATAGCATCACAACATCACATTCGAGCATGTAGTAGTTAGTAGTCGACTTTTGGGCACTTTTTTACTTTTCACGCGGACCCTTGGTTGTCCTCGTGTTATACGCAGTGCCGAGAGCAACTCTTCGCCGGATCTCTTTACTGCGCCACCATGGCCATCTCGGTTGCCACCGGTGGTGGGTGAGCCGGCAACATCCACATCATTATTAGCTGCACGCAAATAGCTTTATGTCGTGATTATGCTTCACAATCTACTCAAGCACACACACAGTCGACGGGTGCAGTTACACGACCCAATTCTCATGCGAGGTCACTTCCTTGGGCACGGCCCCGTCGTTGTCCTCTTGTTCGAGGCGGGCGAGGCGGTCGTCCAGCACATGGCCGAGTTCCCACCATGCCGCCGCCTTCTTCTCTTCCTGTCCACTCGTCAACAGCCGCTGGAAGCGCGCAAACGACAGCGTGTCCCGGAGCCTAAACAGAGGATCCACGCGCGCCGAGTTCAAGTCCCGCACACCTACGTGCAGCTCCAACAAGTCTTCCAACAGGACGTGCACCTATTGTTTTTTGGTTTAACGTTATCTTACAACCACGTCATTTCAGTATTACTAGACTTTTTCCCCACCTCGTGACATTCTAATTCCGTCGCTTGCGTTGGGTTGTACAGGTCCCAAATGCACTACGCAACACCAAATCGATATATATATATATATATTAGTAGTACTGTCTCTTTTCATGGAATATATATAAATATATATATAAATATATAAAGATATTTCCATTGAATCAAATATATAGTGGTTTGGCCAACTATATATTTGATTATAATAAATAAATAAATAGTCGTCGACGTTGTAGATATATACATATATATATATACCTTGACGTCGAGATAATGGAGCTGGGGTTTGTGTTGTAGTTTACGAAGGAAGGCGAGGCGATGGCTCGTGGATGGCAGGTCTGTCGAAGCGCTCAACGTGCCATAACTTTCCGATTGCATCTAAAATAGAGAAATTAAATATATATAATTCAACAAAGAAATACACCACTCCTGATATCTTCAGGGGGTATCCACCTCCAAGAGCCGCGACACAGTGCGATCGAACGCAAACATTTCGTCGATCACGTGCTTGGATGACGTGCCTTGGACGAGCAGGTCCATAGGTGCAGCGTCGGCGGCGCAGTAGAGCTGCACCTTCTTGTCGTACATGCAGTCGACAAACGTGATGAACCGCCGCGTCTGGTTGAGGTTGTGCACGTGGAGCCGGGGGATATCTTGCAAAAACACCGTGTGGAACGCCTACACCCATACAAACCTCAGTACAAGCGAAAACCACATTTAATTCTACGTTCAGCACCCATACATACACCAGTACGTTCAACGTGCCCAGGCACTGCACCCATGTGTAAACAGTCAGGATACGCTCACCAACTCCCCCACGCACACACACAAACGGCCAATACGCATCGATATTGCACCCATACACACATCAAGTACACCATTTCGATCGTTTTCAAAACCACAATCTACACCCCCATGCAAACATCCGTACAAAACGTAGTCCGTGCCCAACCATACGTGGCTGCACCCATACATACATCAAGTCATTCAATCGGCATCGTATTCCTTGGAGTACCTCGGCAATCACCAAGTAATCGGCGGCCCCCAGGGGCTTGTCACACATGTCAGGGAACGACAGCAAGCATACTTTGTGTTTAGGTGCAGCATGGGGCACGTCCACCACGCGGCCTTGGGTGCAGAGCTTGACAGACCGAACCACTTCGTTCTACCAAGCATTCCATCCTCTTTACACAAGTAGAAGACGGAGAAACCTCGTCGCACATTGACTAGTGTTTTGAACGATTCGTAAAACAGCCGACTGTTGGCCTCGTTCAGTGGATGGCGATACATTTCGTGCAGTTGGGCCTGGCCTTTGAGTTTGCGGTAGTCGGTCGAGGACGCTTCGAGAGAGTGCACCACGCACGAGTGCTCAAGCAGGTCGATAAACGGGAGAAATAGCACGCGCTGCAGGCCATTCTTATACAAATCCTATCAAACCATGACAGTATATATATATATTAATATACTAGTATCCTGTAACATTATAGGTATGAATTATACCGTGGGAGGGCGGTTAGATGTGGCGACGACGATGCTGCCGGCGTCAATCATAGCCGAGAAGAGACGCCGCAATATGAGCGCATCGGCCACGTCCGTGACTTGAAACTCGTCAAAGCACAGCACGCGGGACGTTCGCATCAAGTCGGCCGTGAGGTGAGGAATCGGGTCGCCGACGTGACCTTCCTGGCGCAGCTTGTGCATGTTGGCGTGGACTTCCAGCATGAACTTGTGAAAATGGACGCGGCGCTTGCTCTGCAACGGCAAATTGTCGAAGAACATGTCCATGAGGAAGGTCTAGGGAATATTTTGCAAAGAATGGTCAGGAGGATATGGAGTGGAGAGTGTATTGTCTGTCACCTTGCCACATCCGACCCCGCCGTACAAGTACACTCCTTTGGGACCGTTGGGTTCCCGGGAAGATGAGGGTGCGGCGGCTGGAGAGATGGTGCTGCGTAATCGTTCCCATAACGAAGGAGATGGGTCGGTGGTTACGGGGGGTGGAGGAGGTGGAGGACTCGCCACGAGTTGATCTTGCAACGCTTGCAAGTGCTGCAATGCTTGCACCTGCACAGGATCTTGTTGAATCTCTCCCGACACGACTGCATCCTCGTAGATGTCCAAGAGCGAGCGCACGCTAGACGCTGCCGATGAAAATGGACGAAGGAAGACTCCGCCCGCCCGCCGACGGAAGTGCAGCAGCATACCAACGTTCAAGGGGATTTCCACCAATCACGATCGACGCGCCGCCATTGTCGACATCCTTCGTGTTCGTATTCTATTTTAGCCAATCCGATTGCAGAAAGGTTAGAATTTCAGCGAATCATCATTGGAGTACTAGAATGCCAATCAAAACCATTTCAACCAATGGAATCCGACCTCATTTTCCAGCGAATCAAACGTGACAAACCGCCCTTTTCCCGAGTAATTTTGACCAATGGCATATGATCTTGACTTTCACATACTAACCACTTCGAAGTACAGTACACGTTCCTGACGTTAACAGCTTATAGTCATGGCTGACTTTTCGTGTCATTGATGGAGGCACATATGAATAAATTAGTGATGGGATGGCCTCCAGTAGCAGTTGCCGTCGCCTTCAGTTGACTCATTTCGCCTACATCACGTGTATCGTTGTCCTAAATTTAGCCAACGCCCTCGTTGTCTATCTTTGTCCTGAAGGCAAGACTCCATCTGGGCTGCTGGCGATGCTTGGTCCAACATGTCGGCTGGGATATGCAAAATGACCCCCTTCTTTCCGACACAGTGTGTTGTTGACTGGTGTTGTCCATTTTTACATTGGGCTTCCCATGAGATTTCGCACCTGGCGAATTGCTGGTGTCCTGCTGGTGGCGCTGTTGCAAGCTGCCGCTACTACCGCCTCAGCGTTAGGTACTACGACACAAACCCATCCCAACAACTCCTCTGTTCTAACTCTACTGTTGTATATACACCACACCCATAGACCAAGAGAGTTACAGCTCCGACAGCAGCACCAACACCGTAGTGGCCGCCGCTGCAGCAAACAACAACGACTATCCACCGCCGACCACGTACCCGCCCCCCACAACCTATCCATCTCCCTCCATGAAAAAATGCAGCCCCAAGCCCACGCCCTCTCCGAAAAAGAAGTCGTGCGCCCCCAAAATAACAACAACCCCCCCTCCTCCACCCCCCAAGAAACCATCCTGTGCCCCCAAAACAACAACAACCCCCCCATCCCCTAGAAAGTCGTGTGCGCCTAAAACAACACCCCCCAGCCCCCACTCTCTGAACCCCCAAGTGCAGAACCCGGACCCGGGCGTGACGAAGCCCCCATCCGCTTGCGTCGGCTTTTGGGCGTCCTGTGACACTGCGCGGGCGTGCTCCACGGGGGCCACGTGCGTGGACGGCACCTGTCGACCGGTTCGCGTCGGGTTTGAACAGTGCGGGGGAAAAGACTGGCTCGCTGAGTCTGTGTGCGGGACCGCCCTCGGCTGGACCTGTGTTCGGCAAGCACCCTTCTTTGCACAATGTTTACCCGAGGCATCCCTTCAGTGTCATTCGTAGCTCTCCCGAGTTTAACATATATTGTGCATTATTCACCCAAATAGGAGTACTGTAGAGTTCCTGTTGAGGGCTCCAGTTTCAAATCGATTGGACAATAATATTAATATATATATATATAGATTGTACCCGAGACTACTCGACACCCAAACAAGCACCAGCGTACGTACATTATGCGATGACCTTTAAACTGTACTAACTAGGAACGCAGCATTTACCCGTATATACTACGTAGTACTAGTATATAGTAGTGTAAAGTAGGTATAGTACAAGCCAAGGATGCGATCGAATGGCACAAGACTTGTCCTGGTTGCGTTGTTAAAAGTACTTCGCCTGAAGTGGCCCATGTCATTGAATGGTTGACACCATATGCATCTTGACAGCGTCTAGAACGGAGTTGAGCTAGACGAGGCGGTCGAACTGGATGCCTTGGACAAACTGGCCTCTCAAACTGCGCGAGACAAGGTCTTGGAACCGACGGGGGTCGTTGCGGAACATCTCGGCGGCCTCGCGGTTGAGCGGGTCGTCCGGGTTGGGCTCGTAGAAGAGATAGATGAGGCCGTAGATGACGGCGTTGATGTCCAGCACGGGTTTCCAGTCTTCGCGGAGGATGTTCAAGCACACGTTGCCGTCGAGGTCGATGTTCGGGTGGTAGATCTTGGTCACGCAACGCACTTTCGGCGGCTCATGGGGGTAGAACTAGGATGATGGGAAGCAACTACTTTACTGGACGGACGACGAAAGATGGGGGGATGTACCGATGGGATTTTGAACGTAAAGTTGTACGCGGCACCAGTCCAGAGCCCCGTGTCGACGGTGATACGAACTTGAAAGTTAGTCAGGTCGTTCGAGTCGGGGAAGCTAACGACTGCGGCAGACCCACCGTCCAACTCGGCAATGTCTAGAGCGGCCAACGTCGTGGGATGCTATTACCATCACAGACAAACGTACCTTTTTGAATGCGGATTTCACCGGGAGTACGCTTCTTTTCCTTGGACTTGCGCGTTCCGCGACCAAGGCCCATGATCTTGACCCCCCCTGGAGCGGGTGGCGCGGCACCGTCCGCAGTGCTAGCGGTGCTATCGTCAGCTGGTGCAGGCACACCGTCATCTGTGCCTGATGGAGCGGCGGCTGCAGCTGCCGCAGCAGCCGCAGCCGCTTCCCTTTCGGCCTGCTCCTTCTTCCTCTTGAGCATGATCATGGTGCCCGACTTTGGTGATCAGGGAGCACGAGTTGTTGGGATTTTGAAAATGCCCGTGAAACTTAATACTTCCTCCGTTTCAGAATACTGTTGAACTGACTGTGAACATATTTTATGAAGTATATTCGCAATTTGTCCCTAATTAGGCTTTTTTTGTATCCATGTCGAACAAGGACATATTTTTTGAATTTTATTCGCAGGCGAGGATGAGATCGACTCCATACAAGAAAGTATTATCAGATATTTTTACTTTAAATCTCGGCTATTCATTCATTTCTGGTCCGATTGTGGAGATTGCAGGCTCAAACGACTCGTACTGATACGTAGATATAGCTAGCTATTCTCCAAATCGTCTAAATCACTCTGCATACCGAGGTATCGATGTTGCAAGATTCGGAAGACCTGGTCGTGGAGCGTTTTTTCCTACACAACCATGGGGAAACATGAACAACACTACGAACTCGCGAGTAAGTCGATAATGACCACTATGAATACATCTATTCCTTTGTTATAGCCAATGCTATTGCAAATCTTATCAACCTCGTGCTTGTGCAAACTTATTTTACCCTTTATAGTAAGAGTTCCATCAATATGCTAAACTTTGCGTTGAATGACCTGAAATCTGAGCCAAGTGTCGTGATGCCTTATGCGACAAAAACATTATATATGTCAATTCGAAGCCTTTTGCATTTGTATTTCATGACATAGGTCTTCTTATGGAAGCTCATATCGATTTGATCTGTGCTTTATGCCTGCTACAGTATTCCCATGACACATCCTCGCCCAGTTGGTCCGGAAAAATGTGAATTGAATAAAGATACGAAAATTCTCAGAAATATATCAGGTCCTAGTGCAACTTCCAATACAATTTCCAAGTACTAGTATAGGCCACACTCAAAAATACCCACAATAGTATTTTGGAACAGAGGAAACTAGTGATAACGTTACAGCTAGAATGATCAACTAACGTTAACGTTACAACGAAGGTACCGGTACTATTAATAACAGTAAGGTTAGTTAATCCCCACCATGACACTATTAGTACTCATCGTGGTGGTATTGGTACAGGTATCTGTGTTCATGATCATAATTTGAGAGTCTTTGCGAACTATTACGTATTAATACTAGTACTGTACAGTAGTAATAAACGGTTAGGACAACGGCATCAAAATATCTTTACAGTTAGTACGAAGTACTTGAAAGTTGTATTATGAAATACTACGCATACAAATCACGAGTACAATCACAGCATTAGAATTAATACACACTCACGCACCCCTGTACATACATACTAGCAGTAGCTGTAGCTGCTCCTGTCGAGCTCAATCAAATAATATATATATATCGTCGAAAATAGCATGTATTAATATACTAGCTACCAGTAAAACCACGGCGCTTTGCACTATAGACATTGGCCTTTGATTTCGTGAACTTTCTTTAGACGAAATACCTGTATAATATAATACCCTGTGTTAAATGGTACATATGATAATGTTATGTAGGTCCGACACCACCCCAAATCACTTTCCAAGAAGATACGCCGACGACAGACGTCACGATGAGCACCTTGACGAGCGCCGACATGGGAGAATTGAAGCGGCCATCCACCCGCCTGCATGCGCCCCCTGGTGGCGGCACGAGCTGGAGCTTTGGAGATGATTCCGGAACGTCGGACGCGCCCAAGGCAAAGGCCAAGGGCCGAGGCGGCAACAGCGGGTCGAACGTAACGAGCGACGCGTCTCCATTTTCGCACTACCCTCCCCCTGCACCTACATCCACCTCGTCATCTTCGTCTGCGAATCTCGCTGCTGCTCCTACTGCACCTACTACGACCACCACCGGGACCAAGTCGACGGCCTCCCACCGCAGCTTCAACGGCGCCGTGCGCATTGCTGTGCTCAAGACAAAGGCCGACGAAACCGTCGTGGATGACTTTGCGCTCAATTTCACCAACGCATTGGCATCTAGCGTGGCCTACGACATTGTGACCGTCCCGTCCATTGAAGACCTGCCATATGCAGCCAACAAATTGGCCGTCCACGGTGGGTTCGACGGTGTCGTCGTGTTCGGCCTGCTAAACCCGTCGGACGCACTCTTCCCTGTCCTGTCCACGAGCATCTTGCCGGCGCTCGTCCAGATCAGCATTGCCGCCGTGAAACCGATCGTCCGCGCCATCTTTGTCGGCGAGCCGCGCGTGGCGTCTGTCAAGGCCAAGGGTGGATACGGCGCCGAATTTGCCGCGAGCATCGAGGACCTAGTCCAGCTCGGCGGGTTTGTCCACCGCCCGACCTCCGCCGCATCCGTCGCTTCCCGCGGAGCTTCCGCCCAAGGCACCCATCATGCCCATCATCATGCCCATGGCGCGTCCACCGCCGCCGCGGCGGTCGTTCATTCAAACAACAACGTGTTCCCCGACGCCATCAAAGCCGCGCCGCGCGCAGTCCAAGACACCCTGACGGCCCTACGAACGTCGTTGTATGAACATGGAGCTCGGTACGTTCGATTCGATGGTCAGCATGTAACGCATTCTGTGAATCGTACCTCGTGGGGTTTCATCTACCTATATATTCTTATATTCATATAGGGATTATGATTATATATATATATATATATATAATCATATTTGTTTGAATTATATATATATATGTAATCATGTTTGTTTGAATATATATATATATATATATATATATATATAGTGAAGTCACTTTACACTTTAGAAATCCACAATTCTCGTGATTGTTTGTTTATCCATCTTGAAGTATCTCACGCACTGGAGTTTTTGATTGGCTGCATGTATGTATATACTCCATTTTTTCAATACGAGCCAATCAAATCCAACACATTCACTATACATACATACATATATATTTGTGTTACCGCATCCACTATACATATATATATATATACTTGTGTTTCCGCATCCACTATACATATATATATATATATATATATATACTGGTATATATCTTCTTGTCTATCCGACGTGGGCTATTTATTCTCTTGTGATTGCCCCCTTGTGACGTTTTAAACATAGCGGGATTGTCGGACTCGGGCGCAAGTTTCGCATCATGGACGACGACAACAGCCGGACGCTGGACCTGGCCGAGTTTTCCAAAGCCATCCGCGAGCATGGGCTGCCTCTGTCTTCTTCCGAGGTGGCCGACTTGTTTGCGTTCTTTGACGGCGATCGCAGTGGCCACATCAGCTACGACGAGTTCCTCACGGGGATCCGCGGCGATTTGAACGACCGGCGGCGGCAGTTGGTGCTGCTGGCGTTTGCAGTCGTCGACGCCGACGGCAACGGCATCCTCGACCTGGACGACATCATCGCCAAATATAATGCCGATAAACACCCAGACGTGCTCAGTGGCAAGCGCACCAAGCACGATGTGTTTCGTGAATTCCTCGACACATTTGACGGCGGCGAGAAGGATGGCAAGGTGCACCCGACCGAGTTTGTGCGGTACTACGCCAACGTGAGCGCCTCCATCGACGACGACGACTACTTTGAGCTCATGATCCGCAATGCATGGCACATTTCCGGCGGCGACGGCTGGAGCGCCAACTCGACCTGCCGCCGCGTACTTGTGACCCTGGAAGACGGGTCCCAGCGAGTGCAAGAGGTCGAGAACGACCTTGGCGTACATGGAAATGTAGCAGCCATCGCCGACGCACTCAAAGCGCAAGGTGTCCAAGTGTCGGCGGTCGAAGCGTCGGGGTATGTTGACAACGTCAAGGCCAAACCAGGCAAGAAGCTGCAGCACGGTGCAGGGGAAAGCTCGATTGTGTTTGGATAGGATGGATGCACGATACTAGAAGCAACTTGTCGTGGGGAGATGGAAGGCCCTCGTACGAATTAACAATGCGGACGACTGACTGACGAGTGCTCGCTCGTTTATATCTAGACCAACGCTAGTGTTGTGTGAGATACGGTACTATTATAATAGGCGGATAGGATCGTCGCGAGGGGTGGTTGCATTGTGTAAATCAACACTGTATCGCAGATCGTCTGAAAAAAGGCATGTTGTGTGTATGGTGCACGCGAAATCGAAGAGTGGAGGTTTTATTATTTAACGTACAATTAATGTAGTTAAACCCCAAAATCAAATACGTTAAATACTGATTTATCATTGCAGTGGGAGGTTGGTTAAACGTCCGATTGCACCCCCTCCCCAAATTTGTATCAACTCGACAATATTAATACTACTGTAGTAAATCAAACTATTGTTCTCTTCATGTAATTTGCCCATTGTTTATTTGCGTTAAAGAACCAGATATTCAAAATAATATAAGGCCGATTGAAGGTAGAACAACGCTAAATTCAAGTTCTGCATTTCAGCAGAATAAACAAACCCTTACACACTGTACTTTACTTCAGCCGCTAACTCATTGAGTTGCAGCACCAGGCCAACTTACGCAGTGCAACCACCAGTTCATCGCGTTGCATACCGTATTACGACGACTAGCCTAACTACTGTACGTATATCTCTAGTTATAAATTACTCGGAGTAGTTAATGTTTGTAGTGATCACTGATGGGAGGTCGTGTATGTGGCCATACCGGTACAGTAGCTGCTTCAGTTTCATTTCGACAAGCACCTTGACGTGTTGACGTTAAACAAGTTGTTTGCGCTTCATTCTGGCAAACAACTTGTTTTACATATTAATACGAAAGTGCCTGTAATACCACCTTCAACCAACCAATCATCATCGCATTCGATGAGGTAACTCTTAAACAACTTACACCCAACCGTTATTCAGGTTACTTTACTGTTAGACGTTATTAAAAATTTTAAACAATGAATGTAACCCTGGAATTGACAACAAAGGTGCAAAGCACAATAATACCTCCGATTCGAAATGTTTGATAAGGTCGAGCTTTGAACAATTGTATCTCAGTCAAAATAGGTTGTTACTATTTTGACTGAGATACAATTGTGTATTGCCTTGACAACAGGTATACTTACTTCCATGTGATTCTCTAAGCATTAAAATCGGATTTCTAGTGAATTTTTCTACTAACATGGGGCACCAGTCATCAGCATCGCTCTTTGCTTACTTTGTTCATCAATTTCTCGTTGACTACAACACATATTGAGGTGATACAAACATCAAAATAACCGCAAGATTCAGCTCATGAATTGAGGTTCAAAGGATATCAATTTCAATAGCAAACACGTGCAGTAAGGATTTTCAAAAGTAGCGTTTTTCGTAGGGCACCAGTCATCGGCACACGTTTTAGACTTGGGTAATGTATTGAATCCTCCACACTCTAGTTCGCGGGATGCTGTCATCATACTAGCTATCAAAGGAATATGTGTTTAGAATGGGTATTAACTGCTACAGCAACAATTTCTGTATGATCAACACAAAATTGACAGGTCCAATCTCTAATTTATAAAGGGCATTAATTCTTGAAGAGCTACATTTTGACCAATAAGAGGTATTCGGGCATTTTTATTGGCTTACAACAGTGCTGATGACTGGTGCCCTACGTTATACATTACTATACATTGTATATGTAGTAGAATATTTCACTAACGTAGGGCACCAGTCATCGGCAAAGACACCAGTCATCGGCACTGTTCTAAGCCAATAGAAATGCCTGAATAACTCTTATTGGTCAAAATGTAGTTCTTCAAGAATTAGTGCCCCTTATAAATTAGAGATTGGACCTGTCAATTTTGTGTTGATCATACAGAAATCGTTACTGTAGCAGTTAATACCCATTCTAAACACATATTCCTTTGATATCTAATATGATGACAGCATCCCGCGAACTAGAGCGTGGAGGATTCAATACATTACACAAGTCTAAAACGTGTGCCGATGACTGGTGCCCCACAAAAAACGCTACTTTTGAAAATCCTTACTGCACGTGTTTACTATTGAAATTGATATCCTTAAAAACCTCAATTCATGAGCTGAATCTTGCGGTTATTTTGATATTTGTATCACCTCAATATGTGTTGTAGTCAACGAGAAATGGACGAACAAAGTAAGCAATGAACGATGCTGATGACTGGTGCCCCGCGTTACAGTAGAAATCCGATTTTACATTCTGGTTTACAGTTAGGTGGAGATATACATAGTATGGGCACAGTTCCGTGCCACGGCTTTGATAGGTCAATTCGGTCGATATTTGACCTATTATAGCTAATAGAACGCGTCTTTGAAATTCTGATACTCGAGGCTGCATTTTTGCATCCGGATAAAATGGCACGGATTTGTTTTCAGCCTATCGAGATTTTGAATATTCAAGGCCATTTTACTTCCAAACTAATGCGAAATTCGATACAATTTCAAGTCACACAATCTGCATTTTTCCTCGTGATTACAAAACACTATTATTATAGCAAATTGGAGTCAGGAAGATCTCCAACTGAGGGCCTCTAAATGTGGCACGGAACTCGGCCCTTACGTATATGTGGTACTGTACAACGAATATGATAACACCTGTATAATATAATAATAATTGTACGTAACTGGTATCAATCATTTCCAATCGGAGGTACCATTGATGTGCCGACTTATTCATCCAATCAAACCCTAAATCGATTTTCATTAGACAAAATGCAACCTCTAGACAAATGATACCTGTGTAATACATGCTATGAACTCTAACATTTGTGTTCAACAGTACTTCTATACATTATACCTGTTCGAAATGTATAAATCTTCATAACATGGTAATCATATTTCAACAACATACGATTACCATTAATGTAGTTAAACCCAAAAACCAAATCCTGCAGTGGGAGGTTAAAGGTCCCAACTGCCCCCGGATATTATATACGGATAAGAGTCACATACAAAAATCAAGATACATCTCAGCGGCCACCCCTATGGCCAAATATGCATGCGCCCATGTAAAATACCGCTAGGTTAACTATCTATTTCTGGACCAATTCATCACCAAATTAGAATCTGAGACGTAGAATTTCTTCACCACATTGAGATCTGTCGATTCTACGTCTCAATTTGATGAAAATTTGAGTAATGAATACGAAATAGAAGTCAGAAAATTTTGTGAAAAGTTGGTTGTTTATAGGTGACGAGCATCATAGGTTGAAACTTTCGTTTTCAATACATAACTCAAGTATAAAAGTCGGCACATCAATGGTCGCCCTCAACTTCAAAAATTAATTTGTGTAATCCTAAACTGTTTAACAGTAAATCGATATACTTTGGGCTCATTCGAAAGAGCTCAACGTTATTCATCCAAAATGTACTCCAAGGGAGGATTCGAAGAAACAACTGAAATATATGAAGAAAAACCGGTACATCAATGGTCGGCCACGTGTAGTATACTAGTATTACAGGTGGGCTACAATCGCCCAACATGTAGCTAACTCAACATCTGTCCACATGGAAATCCTTGCATGAACAGCGCTACGACTGACGAGCCAAACCCGACCATGAGTATGGGGATTTCCGTGGCACTCATGACGGGCCACTCACGAACAACGTGATGTCGAGGACGGCGGAAAACGCGCCGCCGCGGAAGCAGATGAGTAGCGTCTCGCCGTACGAATGACGCGCAGCGCAGGGCAAAAGTCTCTCATTTATCCGAACATTATCCGTATAAGGCCTGGTGAAAAGTCCAAACGGGTGGAGATGCTCGAACTAGCGGGGAGGCGCAGAGCGTCGATGCAAGACAATACGCATATAGAGAGGTTATGTACGTGTTCTACACCATGACTTTCAGCTACGGGAGTGCCCAGGCCCATAAGTGGTGTGATTCCACTTATGGGCCTGGGCTGTCCCGTTCACGTGGCATCACGACATTGATTGATGCTGTTCATATCGAGCAATACGTAGAAACAAACTTGCGACAATCGTCCTGCGAACCGCTACACTACATTGGCGGTTACTGTTAACGCCTTGGTGAAGAAGTGATCGCGGTGGCCTAAGTAAGCGATAAGTAGATGTTCATCTGTGTTGAAATCCCTGCGCAAAACAAGACTGACGGGTGGGTTCTTATTGGTGGAACCAGCATAAGACTCCAGTTATCCGAACATTATCCGTAAAAAGCCATGTTACACATACTTCGAAGTAAGACCCAACCGGTGGAGATGCTCTTAGATTTTGACTGGGTTTGATATGTGTATGTATTCGAGTCGCGGACCAAAATAGTGCTTTTTACTGCTTTTTTTACTGCTTTTTTTACTCGGTCCTGTATATGGTGTTTTTGTTTCCTACCACTTCCTACCAAAACCCTACCAGGTGGTCCTACCATCCGTATAATTCAGCAGTTATTCGTATCCCCCGAAATACCGTACTTCGTGAAAATAATCGGTATTTGGGGCACAGGATCCATTGCCCCAACGAAGACAATTTACTTCCCAGGGTGTACGTACAGTAGCCCACCCACAGTTTACAGTCAAGGAGCGCCGATTAATGCACCTCTGTAGAATTCACCAGACTGCCCTGTGTACTGCACTAAATTGGGCGTCGCCTGAGGGCATAACGTTATCCATTTTGCGACTGATTTGTTGGACTGTGAATCATGATGGCATCATTTGCAGTACGCAATGTACCAACACTGCACGTCAAGGTCTCATTGCACAGACCTTAGACTAATGTTAGGTTTTACTAACGTTACGTATTAGCTCGAATATGGGTTGCAATTTCCAGGGAAGTCCTTGCAATACAGTGACTTTCCATAATAACTTCAACGGAATCTGCCTACCAAGTGACAACTGCCAGTCGCAATGCGTCACACCATGTCCTTGCCGAAAAAGTGCATGCGGTACAGCTCAAAATTCAAATACATCCATTGTTCACATTGCCTCAATGTCGAATGCGTCACATTAAAGGCAGACCTCCAAAACCGACCGCAGGTTTTTGTGTCGCAAAGCCCTACATGTGCGATGCCGTTCAATGATAGACCAGCGTAAGAGCCTTTGGGGTGCCTAAAACTTTTGTCAGCAGCCGCACGATCGGGACAACATGAACCGGTTAAATCCGTATAACAAATTTTAACCGGATTCCGGATAACTGTTATAAAGTGTATGTACTTCGTATCCTTCTTAACGATTATGTGATGATTTAACAAGGTTTGAAACATTTCATCGTTGGTGGCTGACCATTACTTCGTATCCTTCTTAACGATTATGTGATGATTTAACAAGGTTTGAAACATTTCATCGTTGGTGGCTGACCAGCAAACTGTAAACTCGAGACCTAATTGTCGTGTTAACAGTAAATCCAGTATTTCCCTCATCTCCATGATTATGCAGGAACACCTTCGGTGTTGCTTCGAGGGAATAGCACTTCGCTCATCAAAATCTGAATCGTCCAGGTGCCCCACGAACGGGAAGGCCTGATGAGTGTCGGCAGAAGGAAGGGGCCGCCTTGTGTGCTTGTCCATGTGTGTCAACTGAATACTGGAAACGATCAGCACTGAAGTGGCACATCGAATGCAATCTGTTCAGGTCATGGGGCGAGTAGCTTCGTTGGGGTCACCAGCAGTGGACTATTCCGCATGACCGCATAAACAAGTAGGGGGTTCGTAAGTAGTTACTATGACAGCGGTGAAATTTCTTCATGAATGATGTGGTCGAATGTCTGCGGGAGTTCGATGCGGGCGGGCTGCACCCAAATCACAACGTCGTCGTCGCCCGTGTCGATGTCATCTACGTCGTACGGATTTATCCACAGCTCCTTGACGCCAAAGGTATGTGGTGGCTTGTTGCTTTGTTCGGTTATGGCCGCAGGAGGAGTGATCGGACAGTCGCGGTGCTTCTTTTCGAGCTTGCGCTGGTTCAAGTTGGCTTTGAGCCGATGGTACTCGCAGAGACTGTGCAGCAGGCCGTTATTCTTGACCGCGCGGACGTTCAAGCACACTTTGTTGCGATAGAGGCACTTGTTGTTGATGAAGTGTTTCGTGTATGAAGTAGTTGACGGCATCACGGCTCTGTGATATGAGGGCACTGTGCAAATGCGCAAATGGCCCACACTTGGGGAACAGTAAGAGAACACCAGAAAGTTATACAGATGTGTAAGTAACCCCTGATATGTCAGGAACAAGGGCGCCTGCCTACACACAGTATTGTTCTTGAGGGAACTGGTATTTTTATTCACACGTTAACCTTGGTGTTTGTATGCTGTGCATAGCCGCCGAGTAATCCTCTTGACGAGTATGCCCTTCGTGTGATTAGTCAACAAACCAGCTGGCTAAACTTTGACATCAAATTGACCAGTCGAAATATTGTGATTAATTGAGTTTGGATTATCAATTTTTAAGACATTCCTCCGCGAGGGCCGACACTAGAACCACATGTTTTGGAACCGCTTCGCCAATTGTAACGCGCCTGCTGGACCAGGGGCGGTGTGTAATCTTCGGTCAACGCTTCATACCTCGTGCTTCGACCGATCTTCTTCGAAGTTCGGTCCTCGTCTTCGTACGCGGCCCTTGTTATCCGGATTCCCCAGGGGAGGGACGGATAAATCCTTGCGGAAATAATCCGGGGTATCCGGAGATCGAACTCGAAATATTGTGAGTTCGGTCCAAATCTGCCAATTAATTTTTACTAGGAGGCACGTAAGTTGACTGTACGTACTATACACCCCCTCGCTGCTTAGAGAATACTATGAGATGGCAATAATCTACCATGAGGGACGACTTACTGTAGTTCGACTCGAGATGCCAACTACGTACTTGTCGAGGGACTCATGCGAAGGCGGTCTCTGAGGGACGTATGCTCTTGCTGTCGATCTGTCGAATGTGATCTCAAAAACCTCTCTGATAGTTAATAAAATATTGGGTTTTGCAGGAAGATCGAGTTGCGGTGCGGATTCAACGAACCACTCTGGGAAATTTCGAACTGACTGTGAACGCACAATATGTATACACTATTAATAGTGCGTACTGTTCATTGTACGAAGATTTACTTAAGAGCGTGTTCAATGACGTCAAATATTCGCATATTTCGGCCAAATGTGGATATTTTAGTGGATATATCCGGATGTTTCGAAATTCCATTGACTGTGAACACGTTTTTCTCAATGTCCCAGATATTCCGATGCCGAATATTCACCAAAAATATCCATGTCTGGAGCTGGGTATTTTTTTAGAGGGGTGGGGCAAGGTGCTGGATATCCGAAAAATGCAATTATAGAGGGAACGGAATCAAAACACGATTGGACCTGTCGTGACGACATGTACTCGACAACCTCTGCACTGTGCAGTATAACCAATCGATCTAGGCTTACGCACATATTTGCCCGAGTCCCATTCGTCACTGACCGAGTAACGTTATGATTGATTCACCGCTAGAATGGTTGATACACTCAGTACCAACGTGCAATGAAAAACAATGAGTACACACGGTGCATACGTTAATGTATACCAACTACCTATACGGTACAGTACTCGTTCTTCAATATTATCGCGTCGAACATGTTAAGTATGATGCTCTACCATGAACAAATTCGGCATGTTCGAATGGATACATCGTCCACTCATGAGATTCCCTTGCACAATCCATTTTTCATAAATTTATTGCGATATGGGGTATATTTGAACTCATGGCCGTTTGGATGTTGGAAATGTGTTTACAATGTAAAGGCCAACAAATTGAAATATCTAGACATTTCAAATTTGGATATATATGGCTTCCAAATATCCCATATGCTTGCAAAGAAACCAGTTATAAAATGTTGTACTATTAATAATCAAAATACCATGACTACTACAGTATTGGCGTTTGACACACACGCTACTAAGAGCATCTCCAACGGCGTTTTTATTTCTATTTCAATTCGAAGTTACGGATATAGAATAGAAACTCTTTGTGTTTTTTTGCGAACGAAATTTCGCGGCGAGATTTGTGATCGGTTTACAGTTTACGAATCGCGCAAAATTGGGAAATTTGTAACATTGAAACAAGTCATCCTCGTTGGGGCTACTACATTAATAGTAGGCCGGCGGACGACGGAAGGAGTGGGTGTGGGTGGTGTTGTCGTATGCAATAATAATGTCCGATTGGGATACTGTATTTGGAGACCACTACTGGGGATGCCACGCGGATCTAAAAATAGAAGCTCAATATTGTCAATAATGATCTATTTTAAGGTGTGTTCGATGACGCCAGCAAGGGAAGTCAAAGACGCCGACCAAGCCCCCCACCACCACCCTCCTCCTCCTCCAATGCCGTCCACTGCAGCAGACGCCGATGCGACGAGCGACGCCACCACGTCGGTCAAGTCGGCAGACGGAGCCAAGTCCCCCGCAGACGAAAAGACGCGCAAGATCCCTCCGATCGTATTTGTGCCCCTGCTTGGCGCGTTCCTCGTCATCACCATCGTGCCCTCCGTCTTGAGCAACGTGATCAACAAGAGCCCAACGCCGACCCCCGCGCCCGCGCCCGCCTCGAATGGCGGGTCCAGTGGCACCACGGGGTTTGGGGAAGGCATGGCCACGCCGACGCCCTCTTCCGCCACCCCAACGACGACCAAGGCCCCTACTACTCCCGTCCCTCCTACTGGTCCGCCAACGTTCTCCCTCTCAACCACCCTCGCGGCTACACCAGTGAATGACATTGCGTTCCACGGCCCCAGCCAAACGTTCCTCGGGGTCGATGACTCGATCGTGTGGACGTGGTCGCTTCTTCCACCCGCAGTCGCCACGCCCTTTTACGGCATCCGCGGCGGCTCCCGACTCGCTATCGACGCAGCGGGCAACGTGTACGTTGTAGAGACTGCCGCGTTCAACCAATATGTGACACAGTACAGAGCTGCGTCAAACTACACTTTATCCATGACCTTGGCGACTCCGACGGCCAACCTCCCCGCGGTGAGCGTCGCTGCGACACCGTCGACACCCGCCATGGACGTGGTGGCGGCAACATCGCTTGGGGCACTCCTCGCGTGGAACCAATCGGCGCCGACGACATTCGGGGCGGTCGTGATGGCCGCCGGCTCGTTCGACCAAGCCAGCGACATGACGTCACGAGGGGGGCTCCTGTACATTGCCGACGGCACCGCCGACTGCATCCGGCGTATCGTCCTCGCCACGGGGGCCGCCGACGTCGTGGCCGGCCAGTGCAACACTCGTGGGTTCGCGGACGGCGCGGCCGCCTCCTCCCTGTGGAAACACCCCACGGGCATCGCCATCGACTACTACGGCGACCTGTACGTGAGCGACACGGGCAACCACATCGTGCGCAAAATCGACTTGGCGACCAATGTCGTGACCACCATCGCCGGCACGCCATCGAGCGCGGGCCTGCGTAACAGCGCCACGAACGCATCCACGGGACTGTTCAACGCCCCGCAAGGCCTCGCGATCAACCCCACGATGGCATGGAAGTCGACGAGTGGGATGTTTGCGCTGTACGTGGCAGATTCAGGCAACGCATGCGTTCGAAAGGTCGCGTGGGGGTAATATTGGATATAGTTGTCAAAGGTAGTATTATGGTGTGCTCAGCATTAACGGGAGCAAATATGACGAGTAAGTAGCTGCTGGAACGTGTCCACTGGCTGATGGACAACATTGGCCCTCATAATAGCGTTATGGTCAACCGGGCTACTATGTAGAATGGGGGGGATGGATTGAAATTCAAAACGACTCGACCGTAGCCGCTGCAGGGGAGAGTCCAAGGTTGATGAGGGAGTGGTCTCGTGGATTTGTTGTGGGTAGTTGAACAAAAAGGGCAGTGAGGGGGCGTCATAACTCGTTTTGGGCCACCTACTACACCGTATAATAGTCGTAAATGGATGAGATGGGTGTCCCCGTAATGAGTGCTTGAATACGACGCTACCAAGCACATGTCCGTGCAACTATGGACTTGGTAGAACATAGAGAAAGGTCGCCTCAATGCGTCGTTGCGTGAATGTGCGCAGCACTGTTTACTTTTGTAACGGCTACCCGTTACGACTCGCCTTTTTGAAACCGTTCAAATGTAACCGTCCGTGCCCCATTGTGCGTCGTGCCTGCGTGCTCAGTGTTGTGCCCCTCTCAAACATCGTCGACTGCTACTTGGACCCATGAACGTCAACCTTGGTGTGTGTTTTTCTATGGTCAATCGCTCAACAAGTCTGACGTGATGATAGAGAGCCAACCCGTCGGCGGCGGCGGCGGCGACCACCTGACCGCGAATGATGGCGATAAACTTGACGCTTCCAGGGGTAATGCATTGAATGAGGACGAGGATGATGCCAACGAAATCGATTCGGAAGACGAAGGCGATCCCGACGCCCTGGACTTGGACGACTTGGAGCGGTACACTTGACTAGTTTGTGCGTCGAGTAGTTAGTTGCTCGTTGACTGTGGGGCTGCACTTACTTGATCCTTCTTTCAACAACCTGATGAGCATGGTGCTACCACCTGCGCTTGTCCTGCTTGCCATTGTAAATTCTTACCATCTTGAACGGGTGGTTAGTATCTACCGTGTCGCATTTCTGTTGTATGGTCATTTCGGACTCCAAATACGCAACCTTTGGATTTGGTCGATATTTTGCAAATTATGTACAGAATTTGAGTGAAAATACTATGGTAACCGATGCTGCTTGTGCATTCGCAGGTCGTTGACGCCGCTCCAAGTGTCCGACACGTCCCTCCAGCGCATGTCGCGGTCCGAGTCGGCCGAGATCTTCTCGAAAAAGTACGTCGAGCGCCACCAAGTCAAGTCAGACATGCTCTTGGACGAGAAAACCAAGCGACTGAACAAGGAACGGCGTCGACAGCTGCACATTCAAAAGTGGCAGTGCAAAACCACAAAGTCTCCGTTCAAGGTCAACTTGGTGGCCGACAACGAGCGCTTGGACGAGGTGCGTGCGTGCGTCAATATCGGGGGGTTGTGCCCTATTACATGCGCATGATGCTCCTTTTAGAATGGCTATTCCTTTAGCTATATTAGCTTTAGGTATTACACCTTGAATTTCATTAGCATCCCTTTTAAATATTTCTTTATGTAGCTGTAGGTCAAAAAAGATCAACAGTAGCTGATTTAACTAAAACTTTAGAAGAAAAAAATGCTTTATTTTTTTCAATGTATGACCCGTGGCTGTAGGAGAATCGCGTGCGGATGCTGGAGCAAGCGCGGCGGGTGCGCGAACTCGAGCGCAAGACCAAACAGATCAAGAACGACATCATCTTGAAAGCGCTGCAGGAAACGTCCGACTTGGACGCGCTTCGCCGCGAAAAGCGCGTGATCATCGAAGAAGAGAAGCGACTTAAAGCGCTGTTGGACCTCGAGAAAACCAACTCACATCGCAAGATGGACATGCTCGCGGCGCAAAATGCCGAAAAGCGGCGAAAGCAGGAAAAGATCGAGTACCGCATGAAGCAACGCAAGGACCAACTCCACGACCGCGACGAACGATACAAGGACTTGCTCAAGAGCAAACTCGCGTTGTGAGACACGTTCGAAACGTTTGATTCGATGTATGTTAACATGTTGGAAACCACCGCGACTGGATGCATGCATCTAGTACGACATGTCGTGGGGTATATCGGATTTATCATAGTTTGGGTCGTATAAGAACGTCATTCGTTCGTTCGTTCAAAGATCGTGTGCACAAGGAACTAGGGACGAACAAGTCGACCGCTACCGTCGTTGTCGACGTCCGTGTCCACGGTTTGCTTGACAATGTACGTGTGGTCGGCGTCAAAGGCAACCACGTATTGGTATCCTGGGAACGAAATCGTCAAACGCTCCAGCGCTTCATCCTCTTCAGTGTCTTCGTCGTTTTGGCTGTCATCGCTATCGCGGCGGCGGGCTTTAAGGAAGCGCAAGTCCCCGCAATCCAAGAGCAAGTTCTGCACCACACTGGGAACGCTTTCGTCGCCGGCCAGTTCACCCGACGAGCTCACGACTTTGCCGCTTGCGTCCAGGATCACCGTGCCTACTTGGTGTGGCACATTCAATACAGCTTCCTACCCACCATCACATTCACCATGACAGATCCATCCTTAGGTCATGAGCGAAGTCTCACCATGTTGCTGCTTGCTGTCTTGGTGCTGCGAACAGAAATGCATCTGGATAAGGTTGAAAAGTGTATCCGGACTACTAGTAGTACTACTATTGTCTAGAATAGTAGCAGCATCAGATACGACACTGTAACTTCTTTATTACTGAAGCAATTTCAACGATTCTTTCGAATAATCCTTCATCATCCTACGCTTGAAAAGGTTTGCATTGACGTGCTGCATAGACAGGGTCGTTATCACCTTCTAAAATAGCGGAAAATGTGTCGATGAAAATCCATACCTAAAACGGGTTAGTAGGTGCTAGTATCTACTAAAATCTGATTTGGCTTCACTGATTGGCTATAATTACTATTAACACAACATTTTATTGGATGGCCAAGGCTCATGATATTCATCAAGCGAGCAAAACTTCTCCATCGATCGACACAACTTCGTTCTCCACCATCTCGTCGTCATAACGGGCATGGACTTTATCTTCCCCGACCAACCCATTAGGGGCTGGTCCAAAACATAGACGTATCCGGACAAAATATTTTTGCAATCCAAAAAATGTCGATCAATACTTTTTCGTCTTTTATGAAAATGAGTGCCAGACATGAACGGACTATTCCAGGCGTCGATGGACCATCCACGCCTCAAAACTCCCGGAAAGCGTGAACAATTGTGTTATCCGGAAAATTTGGATACTAACCAATCAAAAGCTCGGAATATCATGGACAGAAATATTCCGCGACCAGCCCCTAACGTTATATAATCCTTCATTCAAGCTCTTGTGTACTGTACCGGTATTATAAGCCTTATTTGAGAGAATTATGTGAACGGTTAAGTGACAAAACGAGCGTTAGGGCTGGTCTGGATGCCACCTCATACGGTATGCCATAAACCGTTTTGGCAAGTCTGCAAATGTTTCCCAAAGTCTCATATCCCATGAAAAACTGGAGAAAAGAAGTATCTCCAAAGTTGTCCGGATGGCAGCTGAATTTTGGAAAAATTATTCGACGTGAACACAAACCTCCATAAAACACCCGAATCTCAAGCAAATTGTGGCATAAAGTTTTGAACCTTGGTGGCATCCAGACTGACGCACAAAATCTCAAAAATTGGAATATTTCGAGTTTGGCAACTTTTCTTCGAAAAACGGCCATTTTATGCCATTTTTTGTGGCATCCAGACCCCAGCCAGTCCCTGCCATGTTGTCATATTTCATGTCTTTCTTGCCCAAAATTGGAATACTACGTAGTAGTTAGTAAGTCATTGCAATCGAAGGTAATAAGGTCGTGGACTTTCTACTAGTACTCCGAAGTACAACTGTAGTACCAGTTTTGAAACTACCAAATACGCAGTATTTCATATTTATATTACATTTTGTATGACCCTGGTATCATACCAGAAGGCTCCTCCAATACATGTAATACTTATAGTAATACTAACGTTACGAAGTAGTAGTACTTAACGTTAGTATTACTAGTACTTTCATTACTATTAACCAGAAAAAGCAAGGTGAAATAGGCAATTTTGTATGGAACGCAAGGTGAACCACCTTGCGAATTCCATAAATAATTCTGAAATTGTATAGTTTCAATTAAATATATCTTCAAGTTTGTATTGATGATTTTTATTTTTCATGGGTCTGTCTCTTTTTGGGATTCGCAAGGCAGGCCACCTTGCGTTAATGTGCGTGCCATATTCAGCGTTTGATTTGCAGATATCCACCAATTACATCGATGCAAAATACCTCTGTTCCAAAGTAGTTGTCCGACTCAGAAAGTTTTGGCGTACTCCTCCCATCATGTAAATTTGGAATCCTGCAAATATCTATCTATATTGTGTGCCTTTGTCTGCTAGCTCCTCGTCGAATCCTTTTGCCAGTCGTGGCATGAAACTACCGACGCCTTAAAAGCGTCGGTAGGTATCCCTGAGGAGCCCATTGTGGAATGAATGTATTTGAATGTTGGTTTTATATAGAGTTTTGTATTGAATTTTTGACGCCCGAAAATTTTGGCTTTTTTCCAAATATATTTCGTCATTCAGGCACATGTCTTGGCCAATTGACCAATCATTGTACGTGAAATTGGGAAGATGACAGCAGCATTTCAAACTTACGCTATGTTATTATAACGTTACACCATAATGTTATTATAACGTTACACCAAACTATAACAATTTTGGAACGGAGGAAGTCTAATATTTCATATGTTTACTCGTTCTGAAAGGTTCCATGTTGAAGTTCATACATTTAAATAATTCGAAAAAATTACAGGACTGTGGACTGTACCACCGCCGTGGATTTGGAGGGCGGCACCTCCACGTTGGCTTCGACTTCTTCTGGAAGGGAGGATGGGGGGACATACGGAGGTTGAGGGATCTGCACATCGGGATGGACAACGACTTCGACGTAAGGAACCGTAACGAAGCCGTGTGTTGGGGAGTGCGGCGTCGAGGGCAAGTCGACGTCAGACATTTCCGTGGCTGCAACAGACGGTCGCATGACGAACTCAAAGTTCGCAGGACGCTCGAGGGGTTCCTGGGTGCCTTTTAGTTGGAAGAAGACTCCCACGATCGTGAAGAAGACTGCATTGCCCAGGTGAAACCAATCGCTAGCGAGGACGACGATGTTGTCGTGAACGGCCCAGTCTTGTACGGCGCCGGCAACGACTAGCGATCCAAGGATCGACGTCGTGAAGATCAAGCACACGCGGGCCGTGTGATGCAAGTATCCCCAGATCCATGCCGAAACCATGACGGAGACGGCCATGGACGCCAAGTAAAACTCGGGTAGTACTTCGAACAAGAGCTGGACAGTCCACCCCAAGGCGCCGGCATGCAGTGCGAACTTGGCGATGATAAAGGCTATCTCGTGATATCGCACCGGCACGTATGGGAACACGACGAAGAACGCGACGAAGTAAAGCAGCGCGACATAGAACGTCGCCATTCGTTCGACGCCGTACGACTTGGCCACGGCGAGGAACCCCATGATAGAGAACACCACCATGACAAATTGTATCACGCAGTACCCATACGTGACGCTGGCCAGGCCGAACAAGAGCGAGAGAAGCAGTTCTGCCGCTTCCATGTTGTCTACCATGCTGCGCTGCAGTCGGTCGTTGTGAGAAGCACGCGGGGTTTTGAATACTGACACAGATCAGATGGGCAGAGAAGTGTCCCAATGCTCATGAATGGGATTTTGTACCAAGGTTATGATAAATAGGAACACATAACTTTGACATAGCGAACCAAATCATTGGGAAAAGAGGAAATTCTCCCTCTGAGTTGGCTCAAAACTTGAAATTGTCAGGATAATTACCCATGCCTATTGACGGCATAGTGCAGTATAATTAATTCCCTCTTTCAAACAGTTCCACTGTTGCTTTTCTCAAAAATCACTACAATTGGGAGTGTTTATATGGAATTTTGTAAACTTGGACAACCTCACCTCTTATTTGGGGTTGAGAGCATTGTCAGTGGTTGGTTGGCTATCGCTATCCACTTGACAATGCAGTTAACCCCGTAGAAGTAGCAGCGTATGTACTAGTAACGTTCGTTAGTCATCGGGTGGCAGGACGGAGTCTCAGTTACAGGGCGAAAATGTGTATCCTGATGGGACAATTTCCCATCAGGAAACAGTGAAACTGTATTACAAAGGGAATTATACAATGGGGCAGGCATAGACGACATATGTACATCCATACGGTATGTACAGACAATATTAGAGAGGTTAAGACGCCACCGCATCCAAGTTGACCTACTCCGGAGTAAGTACTTGCATGGAGGATTCTCCAATAACCTTACAGTTAGGGAGATTTCGGAGACGAGTAGAGTATTGATTAATATCTTTGTGCTACTTTATTGATATAACCTTCTGAAGAGTTATAGTGACAAGTACTCCGGAACTTAGTAACATATGTGTGGGTATTGGGGATTCGAATCATCGACCTTGATTGGCCAAATCTGTTGACTTGGTACATTGTACAACGCTTTTTTGTCGGCCAAGACTTGGAGCTTGAAGGATGCCTGCCACACATGAAGTGGAGGCCATCCTGAAGTTCATGAATACCTCCAACTTCATGCATACTGTAGTGCGTACAATCCCGTGCGCCATCACATGTAGACACTAGTAGGAACTGCGAAAAGCACCTTAGGCGGTTGGACGCAGAGATAGGGCGGCATAGGGGAAAAACCGACTTTACTGTTAAGGGCCCTATATTGCCAGGGAATTTTGGTAAAATAAATTATGGCCACATGGAGGGAACTATTCTGAACGTGATACCCTGAGGGCGGCCTACATTTCAAACATGGCTGAGCTCCATTCACTGGTTCTAAGGACATCTCCAACGGTAAATTCTAACCTATTGCTCAAGGGCCCGTCTGGCAACCTGAAATATTACAATAGTCTGGCCCAAATTGCCATTTTGGGGCCGAATTCAACAAATCTTATCAAAATTGAAACATATCTTTCATGGTGAGTTTTAACCCAAATCCAATAATTCCAAGTGGGATTTACTTCTTGAGGAGGTTCAAAGCGCCATACTAGTATTAGAGCATCCCCAACGGTGTTTTTATTTCAATTTGAAGTTACGGATATAGTATAGAAACTCTTACACTATCCGGAGGGTTTGTTGCTATTTCACGCGAAAATACCTATAACGTTACTGTATACTTCGAAGTACTAGTAGTAATTTCTAAAAAGTCCGGATATGTGCAAAAATAGCAACCGTTTGACTTTAACCTATGCTTTAGCAATAACGTCAACGTTAGGTTAGAATTTACCGTTGGAGATGCTCTTACAAAATGGACCTTTTACCTTCATTTTGAAAATGACATTTTTCGTTTATCCCATTTTGCCTGAAAATGGAATATTGTGACCCTAAGTCACCTTCGTTTTTACGGTTGCTATTTTGGCGGCACTATCCGGACTTTTTAGAAATCACGTCCCGCAGAATTTCTATTTTCGCGTGAAATACTCCGAGTAGCAACAAACCCTCCGGAAAGTGCAAGAGTTTCTATTCTATATCCGTAACTTCGAATTGAAATAGAAATAAAAACACCGTTGGAGATGCTCTAATACTAAGTTACGTAGTACTGAAGTAATATTTTAGAGGCTTTGCTATAACATACTAACTGTAACAGTAAGTTACGTAGTATCAGAGGGTTTCGTAAATAACCTTTGGAAATACATGATGCTGCCGGATACACTAGGCTTTATCCGGCACAACACAGCTTATCCGTGTATGAAACCATTTATCCGGTCATAGTTGGTTCAATTTGGGACCTTTCCATTATAAAAAGACCAAATTTGGCCTTCATACATTTTGTCAATTTTGCGAATTTCCGCGATTGGCTTCTATTACTACGTAGTAGTTGATTCGCCTTGCGCAGATTTGTTGAATTCGGCCCTAAAATGGCGCTTTGGGCCTGAATATTGCAATATTTCCGGTTACCAGACGAACCCTTACCTGACAATGCTCGCTGGCGTCGAGGGGACAAATGTGGCACCATATGTACTGTACATCGCTGTACGACTGCTCTCCGGCGCATTTTGTCGCTGTGTGTCATTTGTGATCAAAAGTTGTTCTTGACGAAGAGTGAATTGTGCAATTAGGTCTCGAGAATAACAAGTATAACTTCGACTTTTCAAATGTGCAAAAGTGAAGGAGTTGCCTAAACGACTACCCTAAAATTACATTCTGTAACGATCCGTGACCTCCTAACAGTAAATCACGGCACGGATTAATCTAAAACACTGGGGTTGGTCCCAGTTTTATGGTGTGAATAGCTAAAACGAGTGAAAAACACAATAAGTACTATTAAATAGCAACGTAAAGTGCCAATTTATGACGTAGTAGAATGTGCCAATTTAGGTCGTATAAATCTAAGCCAATCACTGAGCCCCCAACTGGAAAGAACCAATCATAACGTTCGAACAAACCCCTGAACTTGAACCATACAACACCGAAGGTTAAATATGCGTCAACAATTGGCACACCACTTTATAGAGGTATGGCATATATGATGAGCTGTGTTCAGCTCAATTGTGCGAAATACGATGCGCGTAAATAAACATCGGATTGCTCTGATAATTGTCTACTACGTAGTACATGTTAGGACTTGCAGGATTCAAAAACGATGGGTCGCCTGTCAGATTTCTGGTCACTACTTCAGCAATGCCAGTCGCCCACACGTGTGAGCTGGTGACTGCGTTCCCACACTGTGGTTACCTGTGTTCATGTCGGCACTCAATATTCAACCTCAGAGATGTGTTGAGAGCGTAGGATCAATAATTTCCTGACGGTGTGATAATTTCAGCCAGTAATTTGGCGCAGCGATGAGTTGTGGAGCGTTTTGATCGGCTGTTGTCCATTTCGATATTTACTTGGAACAAGCTCTAACATTATTTGGCGAAATGACTCCCAAGTCCAAATTTGGGTGAAATGCACTATATTACTTGAGGGTGCGTCTGGAAACCGGAAATATTGCAACATTCAGGTCCAAAATGCCATCTTGGGGCCGAGTTCAACAAATCTGATCAAAATTGAAACATAACCCAAATACTATCATTCCCCGTGGGATTTACTCGATGAATTGGTCCAAAACGCCATACTACAAAATGAATCCTTTATCTCCATACCGTATTGAAAATAGCATTTTGGTTTACCCATTTTGCGAGTAAATGGAATATTATATTTGAAATGACACCATATGCACCCTATCTTATCTTACCACCTACACTGTACTGTATAATGTTGAGAACTGACAGAAAATTCACTTTTAGAAAATTCTCTGATTTCACTTGAACAACGAAGACTAATAATATTAACGTTAGATAGATTTCTACCGCTAGAGTTTTTTCATCTTGAGAAATGAAATATTAACGTTCGGTTGCGTCTGGTAACATTTCAAAAATAATATTCCATTTTCTCGCAAAATGGGATCCACCAAAATGCCATTTTCAAAAAGGTTTTGTAATGTGGCGTTTTGGACCTCTTCAACGAGTAAATCTCACATGAAAATATTAATTTCGGGTTAGAATTGTTGAATTCAGCCCTCATATGCCGTTGTCGGCGTGAAAATTGCAATACTTTTGGTTACCAGATGCACCCCTTTTAATTTTTCTTGAACGAGTTTATCAATAATGTTGGAAAAATTATACTAACTGTAAGTTAGTATATTCGACCGACGAAATGTGTCTATGTAAAGTGCGATTCTGATTTCAGCGAACTTGATTGGATTCGCACTTAAACCACCGTTCTTGAATGGTGCACATCGCTGCCATTTACACTTCACGGTCACGACGATGGGTTTCTTGGACGGGTTGGTGCTGCGAGCAAGCAAGTTCGGCAAGAGCCACGGGCTGCGTCCGTTGACGTCGAAGCGCGCAAACAAGCGATTCTACAAAGGGAAGGGATGCCGCAACGAAGGTGTCCATGCAAAGTTGGGCGGGTACACGCTCGACGTGGACAAGCTCCTCGACCTCCAAGTGCCCGACTTGACAGGATTCAAGCTCAAGCCGTACGTGTCGCCGTTGGTAACCCGCGTTCCCCCGAGCTAAGTAGATCCTCATTTTACCACGACAATATACAGAATACGACGACGAGCGACGTTGTAGCGCTCAAACTCACATTCATTATCTCGACTTATTGAATCGAACAGCCACATTTTTGACCGTGCTTGAGCGAGTCCACTTCGCCGGACGCCATGCTCAGCTCCAACTCGGTGCGTTCCTTCTCCTTCATGAGCTTCTCGTACTGCGCCTTCAAGCGTGCGAGCTCGTCTTCCTTTTCGCGATCTTGGCCACGCAATGCGTTGAGCTGGAGCTCGACTTGTTCCTTCTCCAAGTCCATGTGCTGCTTCCCTGCAGCCTCTGCTTGGAGCTTAGACTGCAACTGCTCGATCATCCTTTGCTGGGATTCGATGTCCGCCGCATACCGCGCCTTTTCGCCCATCATGTCGGACGTCTCGGACTGCAACGATTCAATCTGCTGCTTGTACACTTGCTCGCGGCCGCCGATCGCGCCGAGAGTTTCCTTCACGGACGCCGCCTCGGCTTCCAACGCACGCAGCTTCTTCTCGAACTTGTCTTCTTGTCGACTCAGCAACAACCGCATCGCTTCGGCGTGCTTGGTCTCGGAGAACGCTAGGAGCGCGTCCAGCTTGGCGCCGCCGCGTGCCTTCTCCAGGTACACTTCGCGGAACTTGAGCCATTCCCGCGCAAACTCCTGCATGTCCTCGTACGCATTCTTGTCATCCGAGAACCGAGGTTGGATGATCTCGGCGAACAACGTCTGCAGCAGGCGATCGCAAAAGTCCTTGGACGCGGCGCGGTTTTGCTTTTTGAGCGTGGTCTTTTCGGCTTCGATTTTTTCGGCTAAGTCCGATTCGTACTTAGTCGAGGCGTCGCCCATCGCCGAACTACGGTACACGGCAACGGCGTCGGCTTCCGCGGACTTGAGCGCCGCCGTCAACTCGTCCGCATCGAGCGGGAGTTCCAACAGTCCCGCCGCCACGCGGAACGACTCCGTCGCCGTCTTCATGGCCTTCTTGCATTCCGTGGCCGTGACGCCATCCCACGCTGAGCTGATCGTGGGCACGCTGCCGTGGTTGATCGCATCCACATACGCGACGAGGAGGCCTGCGAACATGGACCCGTTGAGCGGCTTGTTGTTCATGGTCTTAGGTTGAAGGTGGTTGAAGATGGACGCCTTCAACTTGGCGAGTTGCGATTGAAACTCTGGACGCAAGTCCGTGATCGGGATCGAGTCGACTTGCTGCAGCATGCCTTCGTCGTACACTGGCCGCACGAGCGTAAAGCAGTCGCGGTCCTTGAAGAATGCCGTCATCATGTGGCGCACACGGTTGCGCTCCATCACCGCCTGTGTGAGTCCGGGCTGCGGCGCCAGCGCGCGCTCGAGGTACTCTGTGGGAGTGATTTCGTCGCCGTCTTCGTCCACCAACTCGAGCGTAAAGTCGCGCACGACCCACGTAAACGACGGGAAGAAGCTCGAAATCTCGTCCCCTCCGCCGCTTTGGCCGTCGCCTTCCTCGGCGCGGACGCGGATGTGCTTGGTCATGTTGGCGATGAACGACAGACCGTTGACTGCTTTCTCATCCACGCTCCCTTGGCTGTTGTAGATGAGCTTGGAGCAAAGCAGCGTCGCGAGGGAGAAGATACGCACGTCGTATTGCGCCGACGCTTCTAGCCCGCCGAGACCTTCCGTGTCGAGCATGAGGACCCAGCACTGCTCGCCGTTGGCCAACGTGTGTTGCTGCGGCCGTCCCCACAGCCAAATGCCTCGTGTACATCGCTCGACGGTCGGTCCGACGCGAAATCCGCTCTGCTTGCCAAGTAGCCAATTCAACATGGACGATTTGCCCGTGCGATACAGCCCCGCCATCGCGATCACGGCAATCTTGCCATCGATGCGTTGGAGGATATCCATGGCCTGTTCGTTCACTTGAAGACGGTCTTCCTTCTCATCAAAGTGAAGCAGCGCGATGGGCTCATCCGGGAACTCGTCCGCCGCCACCACCACCGCCTTTTTGCTGCCTGCTTTCTTGCTCATCCTGGTGTCAAAGGGGAAATAATACAAACTTCGGTCTCGACTGCCTAACAGCATAGCCGCCAACTTCGAACGCTATTTTTAAATTTGCCATACAAATGCCAAGGTATTTTATCATTTAGTTGCTTCGAAGTTTGGTATATCTTAGAAGCCGCTTTGAAATTCGGTATTTTCACAAAACCTGGCCATATTTCACACCAAATGTCCTAAATAAAGTTTGAAAACGGTCTTTTGCCTGAAACAAGCTACTGTAACCGAGACAACCCCACAACACGGCGCGTTTGCATTTGCGTGCATGGAGGGAGGGATGCCATCCAAGATGAGGGGCTACATACACCTACGATACATGCAGTTCGCTGCCGACTTGGATTTCTGGCATGGAGACGCAAACCTTACTGGTATTGGCCCAGCAACCGCCTGATGTCGTTCTGGACGACGATCAACGGGGATGGACATGACAACCAACCTTGAATCTCAACCATCCGTCATCGCAAACCTCTAGGAAGGTATATGGCACATCTCTTGTAATGTAGGCGCAATGTGCTAACATGACGTCAAGCAGCACACTCGTTGTACTTGTTTGGTCGAGCCCACTTCAACCCCTTTACGACTTTTTGATGGTGGTAGGTGCTCAAGCATCGCAAATGGACGCAACGGTATGCTTGGGACGCGAAAGGTCACATTTGACGTGCCAACTCAACAACAAAGTAATGCTACGACCGAATTGCGATAGGTAAACTCGTAGCCGAACGACAGATTCCCCTTTAAAGTCGACGTCAAGATGTGGCAGTGTCGGCGATTTCTTGGTTCACTGTAGTAGATAGCCGTGAACATGCAGTTTGGAAACGAGTTGGAGTATAAAGAGGGTAGTAAGTTCCTATAGACGAGAGGTTTATTGGCGGCGCATGAGACAGTACACGCGGGTGCCGTTGTGGATGTTGCGCAAATGCGCTTGGTCGCCGCGCAAGCACATGAGAAGGCCGCCGAAACTGGCGTAGATCGCGACCATGTTGCCGCCTTCGTGGTCGTACTGGAACACCTTGCCGTACATGCCATAGTCGTATCGGTCGAGGAGCGTGGGTTTGCCAGATTGGTCGAAGATGCCGTCGTCCGGCTTGCCTTCCAAGTCGAGGGTGGTCACGAGCGCAAACGTGAACTGTTCATGCACCTTCATCGGGAACACTTCCGAGTTGATGTCGAGCATGAGCTCTAGTTCATACGACACGCCCTTGCACAGAAGCCGCGTGACTACGATGCATATATATGTTCAGCGACGACGATCGATGATATGCATGGAGGTGTCCTCCATGAAGCACGTACGTACCTCGATCGAACTTCTTCCCTTCGGGGTTGAGCTGCTTGATCTCAAAGATGTCCTCGAACATTTGCGTCGTCGCCATGATGCTTGCGGCGTAGGTTGTTTGACTTTTGGCTTGCGTCCAAGCATTCCGATGGAGTCTGAATTTTAGCCAATCCGAGGCAAACATTGTCCAAGTCCACCAATCAAATCATCTATAGGCGATAAATTGCATTGACCAATCGAATGCCACCATGACCCGCGATTTTCATTGGCTCGTGGTATTTGAAGTATTTCCAACACCAAACCAGCATGGGGAAAGCCAAGGGCAAGGCTGCTGCCGCTGCCGCACCGCTGCCGACAGGTATACATCATGGAACCAAATTGGACACAAAGGATTGTGAAAACCAATGTCCGTCAATGTAGGCATGGCCGTCGGAGCCAAGTCGACGAGTGCCAAAGCAAGCTTGGACGCGCTCTTCGCCACCAAGAAAACAGCGGCCAAGGTTCCCAAAGGTCTTTTGTCTTGCCGCTTACTTCAAGCTAATCACACGAACGATAGATGCCGGTGCATCCAAACTGAAAACCACCGCTGTCGTCGCCGGCAAACAAGACAAGCAGACTGCCAAGCATCAGCTCGACGCGCTCTTTTCCGGGATCAAAGCCAAGAAGCAGCAAAAGATCGACGAGGACAATGCCGTCCGGCGACAAGAAGACAAGGAACTCGCGGAAAAGCGGGCCTACCGCAAACATTTGGAAGCGTTGGAAGCTGAACGTAAGCACGTCCTATCCATCCATCCATCCATCGACTAGGTCCTCCATATCAACTCGTCATGTGTAGATAAGCAAAAGAACAACGACTCATCCGACCCTCGACCTGGTACGTTGGATGTACTCCCCGAGAATAGAATGCTCCAGGTCTCTCATTCTCGTCATGTAGTGCGTTATGATGCCGATGGGTTGCCCATCTACTCTGAGGAATCATTGCGGCTCAACCAAGGCGGGGAAACGGCAGACTGCCCGTTTGACTGCTGGTGCTGCTTCTAAATAACTTACAATCGTGATATTTCAATACATTCGTCAACAAAAGTGTCGTTCTATGTATTAATAGTAGTAATATGATTACGCTAACTAAGTGGAAGCTAATAAGGATCGATCGCAATGACACCGCAGCACTGTGTGTAAAGTTATATTATTATGTATTGCGGTTTCGAGTGAAATGTCGTGTTGTGGCGTGGTTTCTCGTTGGAATTTAAATCGATTTGATTGGCTACTTCAGTTGAGCTCAAAATTATTAGCCAATCAAAACCTTCTCAATGAAATTCATCCAATCAGATCGATTATGGATCGGTTTCGTCGGCGCGATTCGATTGCACCCCCTCCCCAAATTTGTATCAAATCGACAATAAGTGGAGCCGAAAATTCAAATCAATAAATCATTGGGTTTAATGCTCAAAAACAGTAAATAATTGGTTTCCCACTAATATTGCCTTATACGGCTAAATATAGCGAAATATTGGCAAGATAGGGCAATATAATAGCAAAAAAGAGAACAATCAATAATTGAAGTTTTCACGGAGCAACAGTAAATTATTGTGAGCTACTTACTATATATTGCAATACATTGTTGATTCAATATAGTTTTGCGCACTGCCGCGGCGGCACACGTGGAACAGTCGACTACTGGTAGCTTATATTCGCGACAGTCAATGCGATTGCATCGAAGCACAACCAACGCACACATGACAAACAACCAAAGGCCCCAAGGGGGAGGGATATACTGCTGTGTTTTAATTAGTACTAGTAGTAGTTGGTAGTACATACTCCGGAGTAGTTAACACTCGTTAGTCATACGTGTCGTCCTTGTTGATCTTGGCAACGAACGTGGAGAGCCAGGTCGAGGTAGTGGCGGTCACGTCGTGTTGCATTTGACGCATCGTCCGCTGAACGTCCTCCACGACGTCGTACGGGTCCAAGTCACCAGGCAGGCGCAAAGTAGAGGGCGACATCGTGGGCAGGACCAGCTTGAGGTAGAATGTCAGGCGCGACGCGGGGGTCAGGGCCGTGCCGTCGAGGATGGGCGGCGCCTTGTCGTTGGGGTCCACCGTGCGAGTGTACTTGGAGTTCCAGTGCAGCCCCGAGACGACCCCGAAACGGGACACGCACATGATGGAGACGGCCACGACGACGAGATGGCGGCGCATGGCAATGGAGAAAACGTCCGAGCGACTGATCGAGCCGGCACGTCGGCGAAATACTAAATGGCATTGTAAAACACCAGGAAACCAACAACAACCGCGAAAAAACCATTGCACAACAGAAGGGCTACTGTACTACTTTTACGCTTTACGATCAAAGGAGCAAATGTTCATGCATAGTAACTAGCATTTTCGTGTGACTGTATTACTAAAGTACCCCCATGGGAAAATAAAACCGGTTCATACGGCGGTATTATTATTCATACTACTAGAATATATGATATAGTAGTACTACTTCGGAGTACTACAGTATCTATATAGTACAGTGCTGGTAGTATGTACTACAGTACTTGCGTTGGGCTACAATCATGCACTCGGGAGGATGATGATGATGATGGCGAGTCGTCGACTCTTTTCCTTCGCCCTACTACTAAGGGGAAGTTCCAAGTAGTTTTCAGAAATAGCATGAGCTAATCAAAATCGATTTACCTCTTACGATTTAGAAAATGACGTCAAGAACCTCGTTTTCAATTTTTGGTGACATTATTTGCGTAAAAAATCGCACAAAAAGAGGTAAAAAAGTAGGAAACTGTATTGTCGATTTGATACAAATTTGGGGAGGGGGTGCAATCGAATCGCGCCGACGAAACCGATCCACAACCGATCTGATTGGTTGAATTTCATTGAGAAGGTTTTGATTGGTTAATAAATTTGAGCTCATCTGAAGTAGCCAATCAAATCGATTTAAATTCCAACGAGAAACCACGCCACAACACGAAATTTCACTCGAAAGCACATATACTTGGAACCACTTTTTCATTTTGCTAAAAATATCTACTTGGAACTGGCCCTAAACGTTAAGTAGTTGCACGTACTGTACCAATTCATCCAACAACGGTTTTGGGTAGACATAACGTACGTATATTATGCTATATGAACGATTTAACGATTTACTACATAGTAACGAACTAGTTCCATCGTGGCCTTCTTTTGTGTGAGATCACATACAGCATCATCCATGTCTTGGTTTGCGGACTGATTAGTCGACCAAGTGCACAGTCATATTCAAGTGCTTTGGGCGCATGGTTACTCCCACAAACGAGGGCTCGACGTTGGCGTCGGGTGTGAGTCGGAATGAATGGCGCGCCACCAGCGACGCCACCACGACCTGCAGCTCGGCCATGGCGAAGCGCATGCCGATGCAGTTCTTGGACCCCGTGCTGAACGGCATGTAGTAATACGTGTTGCCTTGGCCCCCTCGAAGCCCCTTGTCCGCCTCGAACGATTCTGTCCCTTCGATAAAGCGATCTACAAAGCACGGACGAGTCGAGTTGTTATGGTAGTAGTAGTAGTAGTAGTAGTAGTAGTAGTAGTAGGGATAGATAAAAGTACTAATGGTGGTGGGTAGTCTACCTGGCACAAATTCGGCGGGGCGCGACCAGTACTTTGGGTTGCGATGCATCGCCCCCGTGTGCACCAGCATTTGCGTGCCCTACATACATACAGTATATATATTATATATCTTATACATGACAAAGGGGGACGGACGGACGCGTGAAAACCACACTATATTTTAAAAATAAATACATTGTTTTTCCAAAAATACAAAACATATAAACATATCGACACCGTCTGTCTACAGTATTATTGTTTGTTCTCTCTTATACACACACTACCACGGATCAGGCGATTCTGGATGCGTTCCTGAATATATATATATATATATACAATATATATATACAATATATATATCTATACAATATATATATATACAATATATATATTATATATATATATACATGGACATGTATTACCTTGGGAATAAACACGGGCTTGGCATGTTCGTTGACGCTGGCGAGGGTGGGCATGTCGTTATCTTGGACGCACACTCGGGTAGCCAGCATCGAAGCCGTGGGGAAGAGTCTTAATGTTTCATGGATCACAGCCGTCGTGTACTTGAGCTCCCCCAGTGCTTTCCAATCCCACGAGTGGTTGTTCGCAGCTAACACGTGGCGGCACTCGGCACGCACTTTGGCTTCGACGTCGGCGTGTTGGGCCAGCATCGTAAACACCCAGCTCAACGTCGTGCTCGTTGTCTACGGTACCCCCAACCACCACCACTGCCATAAGCATTGTTGTAATATGAGCAATTTTCAGTAATACAGCATATATATATATATATATATATATATACACCAACGTCTATGCATTCTATGGTGCGATGTGATGATGATGTGATGTGTGTGGCTAGATAAACCACCACCATAGAACTCGCCTTTTGGTTGAAAGAATTCATCCATCATACAAATATTATATTGTGGGCTCACAGTCAATTCATGCCGAACGCCATCGCCGAACCTTCGAAATATGATATAGTACTACTTTTCCGTTTCAGAGAAATACCCCAGCAGTTCAAACTTCATTCTTTTTAGCCAATCGTAACGCAACTTTCATTCTTTTTAGCTAATCATACTGCATCGCTCGATTTGCCACAATCACCCAAAATCGGGTAAAACGCAAACACAATAATATTGCGTTTATGCGACATGGAGAATGAATCGACACTACCAAATGGACAGAAGAATCGGCAGAATTATTTAGCCAATCAGATTGCAGAAAACCATCTTTGAAATTAGTGTGTGACTTCAATTAGTGTGATACCAACAATCCACAGGAATCCATTTACCATATAGAAGTCAGTACAAAAGAATCGATCGATGGATTCGGCGAATCAGCGCACAAGTAATTCAAATTTTGGGTAAAAGGACAGACAAGACAAAACCATGACAATGGTGAATACATATATATATATATTCTGTTTCAAGTACCTCGTGGCCAGCCAGCATAAACGTCATGACGTGAATCCTGGCTTCGTCAATCGACACTTTGTGGTCGTTCGTGTCGGTGAGCATGAGGTCCACCAGGTCGAGCATTTTGATCGTCTTCGGAAGCGAAGTGGCAGAGGGGGGGGGCTTGGCCGAAGGCGACAGCTTCGACGCCAGGACCGCGTCCACCACCTCGAACAGCCGACGCCTCGCGCGTCGGCGCTGGTTCTGCGCCGGCAGGGGCCACCGCGGGAACCACGGCAAGAGAAGAATGCCCACGATGTACAGCAACGACGGCGGTGTGATGAGCAACTCGATGGCTTCGACTACAGACACTTGCTTCGTCTGGGGGTATTTGTCTTGATGCGGGGCCAGCGCGTCAAATTCATAGCTGAACGCCGACACGCCAATGATATCCAACGTGAGCTTGGTAAACACTACACCACGCGATTGTCAACTCAGGACGACGACACTACTACTAGTAGTAGTAGTACTACAAGTACTACTAGTAGGAAGCAGGTCGGTCAGGTCATACGTACACTCGTGCATGTCGACGGTTTGTGTGGTGTTGGCAGGAGGTGTTGATGGCGGGGATAGTTGTAGCCGAGCCAAGTGTTCATCCTGGAGGCGGCGGACGTGGTGATGGAACATGCCCAGGAACGACTTGATGTTGTCATGACGGAAGAGCGGCTGCATCATGCGACGCTGTTGGGCGTGCGTGGCGTTCTCCGACGAGAGCAAGCCGTCGCCTCCAATCAGATCCTAATTATATACACATGTGGATTCGAACGAGTAATACTCGTACTAGTCGTAGTACTAGCTAGTACTATGGGCGGTCAAATATACTAACTACTATGTATGTCATGGCCGCCGTAAATGGATGAAAAGATAGAAAACACACCCGAAAAATCATCCGAGTGCCATCGTCCCGGGGGTAGATGTCGCTGTGCGTGGTCAGCACATGCTTGAGGGCTTCCGGGTCAGTCAATAGGATCTACAATCGTGTTAGTGTACTGTGCACTCGTGACATGCAACAAATGGATGGCTGTGGTCGCTCTAATGGCTACTGTAACGTGTATATATGGTGATGTGCCACACGTACTCGATTCTTCATCATAAAACGATAGCGGAACACACCGCCATACTGCTGGACCCTACGACGAGTTAGTGTAGAACGCCAACACCATCGCAGATACACATACCAGGACAAAAGCGGCTCGGGAAACTTGGCCTGGGTCCACATGATGTCGTAGATCTCCTGGACGTTGCCGAAGAACCAGTGCGCCGACGCCGGCCCTGGCATGCCATTGACCGGACTGCGCGCTGGTTTGATCACAAACAGGTACATTAACGCGATGGAAGCCGTAGCTCCCGCTCCCAGCGCCACGGCGGCTGCTATCGCGCCCGCCGTAGCCAGCATTGATAGTGACGGCAACATGCCTCTGGTACCGGTAATATGAATTTCGACGACGGCAAATATAAAATGGCATCTGCGTAACATGTAACGACGAACTTTCAACATCGGAATGACTGTACCCACTGATCATACAGTACTCACTCAGGTCGAGAGTTCGCATATACGGTACTATGGCGCGTATACATGTATGTATACGTACCGTCCGTATATGCGACCTCACTGTATATACTAACTACTAGTACTATATAATACTAGTAGTTAGTATATACATACCGTTAGTTGGTCCATTTGGTGATCAATGAGGATGGGGGTATCCTTGAATGTACGGTAGTAACAAGCTTGGTCGTGCACAGTTGGTTAAAAGGCTGGCCGGTACGACTTCGTGTGCTGGTGTACCCACCCTGTACTTCTCCTTGATTACTAGTACTACAGTACCCGAGTCGACTCATTCCTATCCTACAGTACGATCGTAAATCAATCGTGGACCTTCGATCAGTACGATCGTTCTAATCGAAGGCCTTTGATCAGTAAGTAGTACGATCGTAAATCAATGGTGGGGACCGTGGATGGAGTGTAACTTACTGTTAGTACAGGTATTGACATTCATTGAATCATCCATGACATGTTGACCGTCAAATGAGGGAAGTTTCCCAAAGTCGACGAAATCGTGAAATTACAGTAGTACAGTACCCCTATCATCGTCAAGGCGACGAGTAATTCCCTGATAGCAACTGTTCCGAAGTGCGCCTTGTGTCTGCGGTTTTTTAATTTTCAGCTAATCAAAATGTTTTGTACACACTGGCGACGTTTAATTGGCTATTTCTAAACTTTATTAGCCAATGCTATCTCAATGGCAATTAGCTGACATTTCCATTGAGATAACGCTAACGTTACATCGCTGCTAAAGACAGAATTCGCTCCGAACTCGCTCCAAGTACAGCCGAACCCCAGACTCCTCATGTTTACATACACTTCTATTCCCAGGGTAAAGTTGCATTCTCGCTAACCACTTACTAGTAGTAGTACTACGTACTACTACTTCGAACTACAGTAGTACTGTAACCCCTAGCTGAAATGTGTGTTTTGTGTTCACCGGCAATTTGACTGCAGTACTACAAGTAACGACGGAAATCTTCACTCAAAGGTTTGTTTCAATGTTGAAAATGGAGAATGAACAATTAAATTACACACTTTTTTTAGGTATTTCATTGGCTAACGTTAAAATGTTCACCCTTGACATCCAGAGTTCATCTGTTGGGTAGGTACAGTACACAAGCGACATTTAGCAAGTACTTCAAGTACCCAATTGTACTACCTCTGTCCGAAAATAGTTACCCCAAACTGAAAAACTGAGATCCGAGAAAAGTTGCCTCAAGTGTACTACTGTAAGAAATGCCTCTAATCTGACCAATGGAATACGCGCAACATACATTACAACAATTGATCGATGCCCAGAAGCAGCGCCAGATCCAAGTCAATGTCATCATCCAGCTCACCGTCAACAGAGAGTTTCTCCATTTGCGAGCTGAATTCGCTCATGTCCATCGCCTGTGCCACTTCAAGTGCCAATTCGTCGATCTTCTTGTCGATATCAGTAGCACTGAGTAGTCGACACCCGTCATCAAACAGGTCACGATCAACGCAAACAACCTCGGGCAACATACCCACAGCAGCCAGTTTCGCCTTCTTCATATGCGGGATTTTGTAACAGTTGTTGCTTTCCACGCGCATTACCTCTTGCATACAGCATTATAACATGAGAAAGTTGGCGTTCAAAGTCATCATGTCGACATCCTGCCACGCTTCAACGGTTGCAGCAATGATATCGTCAATGTTGCGCGAATAGTTCCGTTCTTGAAGAGTCTGCAACGCTCGAAAGAACCCCAGATCCAACACGTTGAGATCCGGCGAGTTGGGTGGCTGAAACCTCACTTGCATGGCCCACCCGCCGCCGGTGCACGCAGCAACGATGCGAGGGTCCGATGGGGGAACGTGAGGCTTGGCGTTGTCCTGCTGGATAATCACTCCCTTGGTCTCACCTTGGGGCCATTTCGCTTTGATAGCGGGGATGGCATTGTCGAGGAGCATGGTCGTGTACACTTCGCGAGTCACGCTGACCGGCTTCGTCACCATGCTTCCAGCCGGTCTATTGCGGCTTCCACGCAACGCCGGAACTCGCTCCGTAAAATGCCATGTGCCGATCTTGCCGTCGAACCACTCATCTTTGTCGTGGTCCCAACGTGGACGGGCAACGGCGGACAGAAACATGACCTTCGTGATGAATGTTTTGGACTTGACCGTGCGATGAGGAGGGGCTTAGTCGGGTGCAAGATAATACGACTTGTGAACTCGCGTGGCGAAGAACCAATTTTCGTCCACATGGACACAGTCTATCATGCTGTCGAAGGTGTAGTCGTGTCGGTCCCGCCGGGTGAACATGGTCGATTGCCCACTTGAGTCGAACGGCCTTGTTGGAATCCGTCAGTGCCGGCTTGACCGTACTAGAGTATTTCACGAAAATTCCTCGCCGATAGTAGTCATGCAGTGTCGACTTGGGCATGGACATGGCGGCAGCGATGGACCGAAATTTTGTCCGTCGAGCCTTGGGTACGAGTTTGAGACGGGCAGCAACAGAGTCGTGCTTGAGGTTCCTGCCAGAACGACCTTTTTTCCTTGAGCAGACAGGCTGGCACGGGCGAAGCTTGTCGGACAGGTCGACTGTAGCTCGGTGCCAGATTCGGCGAACCGTGCTTCGGTCAACACCAAAGGAGACGGCGACGTCTGCTAAGGCACCTCGTGGCAATGTCTTGTGGTCAACCATCCGCGCGAGAAGCTGCTGCTGCAGGATTGCAGTTCGATCGTTGTCCGTGAGGTCCTTCTTGGCGCGCATTTGGATTGCCAACCTTGACACGCTCGTTGATACGGATAACGTTTGTTCGTAACCGGACATCCGGATACCTCCTTTTTGAGACAAATCGTCCAAGTTGTATAGGTTTAAGTATTCGGGCTCTGTGTGGCTGAATCTGTTGTGATTGGGTGTAATTTGGTACGAAGCGATGCTATTGGTGTGCTCTAGAGGCTAGCTACTAAACATGCATCTGTTTTCAGAATGGAATAATTCGACCAACTTCACGTTCATTTCTCAAATATTCCGTTTGGGGTACCTATTTTCGGACAGAGGTAGTATTAATTTACTGTTATTAATCACAGAGATTCGATATCCTCTTATAGGAGGCAGTTTACAGTTACGTGTAGTACAGTATGGTGCATGAAGCCTAGAAACGACGAAATTTTGAGCACTTTTTAGAGCGTTATACCATGTGCAGTATTATTATTTCCTGGCAAATTAACCACAAAAACGATAGATCTCGACAAGGCGAATCGATCATGTGGTTCCAAGTCACAATTGACGACAAAATGAGAGGGCTATTTTAGTTTGACCGATCGCCTTGCTACAACAGAAATATACGGGCTCGGACGTATTTTGGCCACCCCATACGTCTTGATGTTTGTATGGGCCAATTATCCGTACACTTTATCCGTACTCTGTACGTACAGTAGATTGAGTTTAACCTATTATTAACGAAGGTTTAACATGGCAGAATACTGTTAACAGTAGTCGACAGCCCTGAGGGGGCCTTTGACCATAACTTTTGCTGCACGAACGCAGTATAAAAAAGTGAAAAGCAAAAATGTAGCGCTGCGAATAAGCTAAAAATGTGTCAAGAAATAGACCTTTAAACCTTATGCACTCACAGATATGATGCTTGGAATTTCAAAAACCTGTCTAATTTCACCCTATTACCTAATATACTCTGACATGTAATACAAACTGTGACTATATAGGCGAAAAGTTCACCCATTACACACGCACACGCACACTGGCTCTGATTCTCGACACCAGCCTCACAAACCAACCATGCCTAGTGAGCCGACCCAACCAAGTGACGTAGACCGCGCCATTGCGTTCGTGAAGCGCTCACGGTCAAGATACGTGACACAAAACGAGATCCTCGACATGATCATAGTCAACGCCACTGTGCGCCAAGACGATGCAACCGCGTCCACTCGCACCGCCGCCCGACTCTTGCGCCGCAAGCCACAGCTGGTCCAACAAGTGTGGAAAGAGTTGGTCGAAAAGGGCTCCACCACGACCAAGCCCCAAGCCCCCCGCGACATGTCTCTCCGAACAAGACTTCCCGTCACGTCGAACCTGGCCAAGATCATTCAAGACTTCGTTCGCCAGCGGAGGACGATATCGGACAGTGGCGAAGGACGTCGCCCACTTCCTGCGGTCCCAAAACCTCTTGGAATTCGATATTGAGTCGCAATCGTCAACGCAAGCAGCCTACCGGTCAACCCAGAGGGTCCTGGCAAAACTTGGGTACAAGAGGGGAAAGAAGAAGCGAGGTCTAGGCCTTCGTATGTGCGAAGCTAATATTCAGCATCGTGATATGTATGTTTCTGATATGTGTGATATATTGTCGGGCGATGTCAACCGACGGCCTGTTATATATATGGATGAGAGTTATATTCATCACCATTATAGTCGGCATGATGATTCATTATATGATCCGAGTGATGACCTTGATCTTGAAGTCAAAGAAAAACACAAAGGTGAAAGATTTTGTTTTATTGCTGCCATTTTAGATAGTGGTTGTTTGGATAGCAAGCTCTTATGCTTGGATGTATTTCAAGGTGGAAAACGAACTGGTAAACCTGAAACCAAGGATTATCACGGAATGTTCGACCATGCATATTTTGTCAGTTGGTTTTCCAAACTTCTTGTCGAAATAGAAGATCTTGGGTTACAAAATGCTGTTATAGTAATGGACAATGCAAAATACCATAAAGGGCTTCCTCCGGATACACCGAAGTATGGAAATAAGAAGAGTGTCCTACAGGATGCTTGCACGGCGTACGGCATTTCTTTCACAAATGAAACGAAAGCTGCATTGTGGAAAAAGCTAAGTGTGCATGTGAGCAAGATTGACATCGAGGTTGTATCCTTGGCACGTGCCGCAGGGCATGAGGTTGTTTACACACCGCCTTACCACAGTGGCCTTAAACCAATCGAGATTGTTTGGGCCATCGTAAAGTGCCAAGTACAGTGATCTTTACTATGCATATATATGCTAATGTTGTGCAGGTTGGACGTCAGTACACACAAGACACCACGTTTAAAGACGTCCGCGTGCGGCTCATGAAGGCATTCGAGGACTTGACTCCAAGCAGCATCAAGGGCTGCATACACAAGGCCGACAGGCAACTCAACAAGCTTGCGGCGTACATCAAAGAGCAACACGAAGGCGATGCGAGTGATAGCGACAGCGACCGCAACGATGGTACCAACGGCGGCAGCAGCGACGGCAGCGACGGCAGCGACAGCAGCAGCAGCAGTAACGACTCAAGTAGTTCAGAAACAGTGATGTAATAAATTTACTCTCTTTTCATTGGTCGAACGTTAACATGCAGCCGAGGCGTTGGAAATTCAAAAAAACTCTGTGTATTGATATTTTTTTGGCAGGCCCCCTCGAAGCTGTCGACTACTGTAAGTAGTTTTACCGCAAAACATATACGCACCCTTAAATAGAAAAACGTAGGGCAAAAGATTTGGCCTTATCGTCGTTTCTTGTTCTTACACCAAGTACATATACTGTACTACTCCGGAGTAAGGTACAGAGAACCGAGTAGGAACTCGCGCACAATGGTATTTTGAAATATATGGGGAATTGTATGCGAATGCGCAAGTTGTGATTCCGAGTACGAATTATATTATTGCATTCAGATCAATCTGATCAATTTTATTATATCCAATCATACAATTTACAAACTTTTTATGAGCATACTATTGGTTAAAATATAAAAAATGAAAAAAATACTATTTGTTGACGTCGGAATTTATGAATGCTCCATGGAAAAAAATAGTGTCGATACCACTGTGCGCGAGTTCCTACTCGGTTCTCTGTACATCGATTAACTAGATGGCACCTAATTCCTGGACGGTTTGAGTTTTAACCAATAATACTTCAGCATTTTGAGTGGAGTCAATTTGATTGGATATGATAATATTCGTGATTGTAATTATATATACAAACACTCGAGTGACGATATTTGGCGCAATTTTTTCGCGCCAATTGACTGTGAATAAAAATACTCATTGACTTTTGACTTTCCCATATTGAAACATGCCCGCCACGTACAACAAATCCTAGATGCGATTCAGCGCGTCAAAGGTGGTGAGTCCAAAGCGGCTGTCGTCCAGAGCTCTGCTGTCTCCAGGGCCACGTTGTTCCACTATCAAGATGAAGAAGGACACTGGAGCCATTGCCATCAACAAGCGAGGGCCGTACCAAGCTCTCCCCTCATCGATTGAGCAAGACTTTGTCGCTTGGATCGCTGCGATGCAACGTCGTGGATTGCCGGTTGAGCGAGGGGAAGTCATCCACAAGGCGAATGCGATCTTGGCTGTATACCATGGCATACCACGGAATGTTACTCGTGGATGGTACCAGAAGTTTTGTGTGCGCAGTCCCCTCATTGCTGACCGCGTGGCTCAGAAGCTGTCAAAAGTCGCAACACAGTTAGCAAAGAAGATATAATACGTTAGTTTAACGCGCTAATCAATGGCACTCTGAGATTCTCGTGCACCGCGGCGGATGTCTCAACATGGACGAAACTCAAAACAAAATCCCAAAACAAAAACGTCGTCGCCATCTGCTGGTCCAAGAACGTTTGGAATGAAGAAAATACCCCACCGTACCACCTCACCATTGTCGTGGCTACTGCATCCGATGGCACCCTCGTTCCACCGGCGTTCATTCTCCCTGGATAGTCCTGCGAAAGTACTGTCTTGGACGAGTGTCCTGTCGATGACGCGCTTGTGACCTCGGCTCCTAAAGCGTTCATGAACTCAGCCATCTTCAACAACTCGCTGATTTCCTACGGAAAGTCGAAGCTTCGCTGCCGTGCCGTAGACCTGCCATACTTGTTCTAGACAATTGCTCTTCTCATCACGGCGTAGACAGTTAGATGATCAGTGAAGCGTATGGTATTGTGTTGGTCTACCTACCTGCAATCACAACGCATTTGCTTCAGCCGTTGGACGTCACAATCTTTCAACCCTCAAAGCGTGACATCAAGGCAGCTGTGACGACGTACCTGCGCGCATCGAACACTGAGACCTTGCCGCGATCAAAGGAGATCTCGATTTCAGGATCTGCGTTTAAAAAACGGATCAGTCACGACTTCCAGTACGACCGTTGACATGCTGAAGGCATGTTTAAGAACGATTTTCGTACCTGCGGTGCCTGCCCGTTATCGTTGCCCGCCATGTTGAAGGCCCTCGACTTGCAGTCCAAGAACTGTGTCAATGGCGACCTTGGCGCAGCCGCCTGGATCAGAACTCAAGAGCATACACGTGAGAACGTCATGACCTTACCTGGGCGAACACCGAAGAGGGCGAGAAAACGTGCTGTCACTGATGGCGACTTGTTCACGAAGAAAGGCTTGCACACCAACTCTTCCAAGCCAACCAGAAAGCCAAATGTCAAGCACAAAAAGTCCAATTGAATTTTTTTTCATTCATTCTTATATATTTTGTGAATTTGTTTTGCGTTCGCCGTAGGCAAATTGATAGTTTGGTCCTTAGAAATCAGAAGTATTTTAATGTAAATTGTAACAACAGTATAGAAATATCAAGATATGTTGACCGTCCAGATTTGGATGTCGTTAGAAAGTCAAGAGATTTCTTATTTGCTGTGTTTAAATTGCCTACAAATTATGAAGTGTTTCTTTTCACTTCTTTTTTTGGATTGACACCATAATATTCTGCTTGACAGTGAATTATATACGTATTCAGGCCATAATCCTAGAATATAAAAATTCGACAACCTAAAGCTCGTGAATTTAAATTAACTGTAAGCTTATTAATAATACTTCGAGTAGTATTAATACATGTACTCCAGAGTACTTCGAAGACGGAGAAATGTCGCATGTGTACTTACCCAACGGATTAACCCTTGATATCCATCCTCCATGACCAAAACCTGGAAAGAAACAGAAATGTAATGTTATTTACTTCGTCGTGAGCTATGTGGCGGACGCCGCAGCCTATGGACTATCTACGGTCGAAAAGCTGGTGGCAGCACGGTGTACCATCATGTCCAACTTGACCGGCTTGATGGACACGCCATCCTGCTTGGGGTTCAAATCGGCTTGGTTTGTCACCTTGAACGAATACTTTAGCAGCAAATTCGACACGACGACCTGCAATTCGGCCATGGCGAAGCGCATGCCGATGCAGTTCTTGGCCCCGGCGCTGAACGGCATGTAGTAATACGTGTTGCCTTGGCCGTGCCGCAACACCTTGTCCGCAGCAAACGGCTCCGACCCTTCCAAAAAGCGCTCTACGTACCACAACATATAGATCATTCTACATACATACTAGTATAATATATATATAATACTGTAGTCATAACTCTGGAGAATACTTTGAAGTACCCTAATATATATACTACCTGGCACAAACTCATCGGGGGTGCTCCAGTACATTGGATTGCGATGTAAAGCCCCCGTGTTGACGGCAATCGTTGTTCCCTATACAAATTCATCCAATCTTAGGATTCGTCCTTCCACAAAAGTATAGAAACTATGGTATATTTCCACCGTTCATATATATATAGAAATATATAATAGTATATACTAGTATATATATATATATATATATACCTTGGGTACAAAATACGATTTGCCACTGGCCATGGGCAAGTAATCGTCGGTGGCGGTCTCGCGGGTGGCCAAGGCGGCAATCGTCGGATACAACCGCAGCGTTTCTTGAATGAACGCAGTGACATATTTGAGCTCGCCAAGCGACTTCCACTCGATTCTGCCATTGTTGGCGGCGGCGACGTCATGGCACTCGGAGCGAGCTTTCGTTTCCATCTCCGGATGCGTGGCCAACATGCTAAACACCCAGCACAACGTACTGCTCGTCGTCTAGCTCAACACACATTAGTATATATATATGACAGCCCTTAGTATATATATAAAAATAGCCCTTGGCAGATTCTAACTTACCTCGTGGCCAGCAGTCAAGAACGTCATGACATGCGTCCGCGCTTCCTCGGCGCTGACCTTGTGCTCGGTCGATTGATTGTCCAGCATGAGATCGACCAAGTCGGTGGCAGCGCCAGTGCGGCGACGGGGCGCCTTCAGTTTGGCGGAAATGACATCGTCCACAGTTTGAAACAGCATGCGCTTGGCGTCGTTGCGTCGTTGGATCGCGCGCAAGGGCCATCTGTCAAGGCAGTTAGTTAGTTAGTCTAACGAATACGTGCACCACAACTAACCTGTCAAAAAAAGGGAGGTACACGCGGCCAACGGCAAACAAGATGGACGGCGGCTGGTTCATCATCTTGTACGCGGCCATCACACGCTCATTCTGGTTGGTCAGCGACTGGAAATCGTACCCAAACGCGGATAGTCCGATGATGTCCAGCGTCAACTTGGTAAACACTATATGATACTTAGTTCGATAGGGGAAACATAGGGGAGTAAGGGGGGAACTAGGGGAAATGGGGCCTACAGTCATGCATGTCCACGGGCGCGTTTGTGTCGGCCAGACGATCCAATTGCGAGCTGAGGGCTTGGGTTTGCCCTGCAAACACGTCGATGAACTGGCGGACTTTGGCAAATCCAAAGTGGGGCATGAGCATCTTTCGCATGTGTGTGTGCGCGTCGCCTTCCGAGCTAAGGAGTCCGTCCCCTCCGATGATTTCCTACGGCAAACAACACAATGGGAATCCGTACGAACGACAACATAGATCTGAAATATGGACACACACCCGGAGGAAGAGACGGGAATCGGTCGATCGAGGGTAATTGTCGGCCTTGGTATTAAACACGTGCTTGAGCGCTTCTGGGTCTGTGATCAACACCTACCACAAACATGAGTAAGCGATGGCAAAACTGTGGCCGTTCAGTTGTCGTACGCGGTGTCTGAGAAAAGCACGGTAGTGCACTGCGCCGCCGTATTTCTTGACCCTATACATGGCATATATACAGCAATTAGCACAATAGATAGGACGCTGCGGTAACTACCAAGAGAGCGCAGGTTGGGGGAAATGACCCTTGCTCCACTTGGTGTCGATGATTTCCTTGAGGGAACCAAACAACCAGTGGGTCGACTTGGGGCCAGGAATGACGTTCAATGGGCTGAGTGCTGGTTTGATGGTGAACAAGTACACCAAGACACCGCCGACAACGGACACGAGGCCAAACACGCCGATGACGACTGTGGGGTAGCCGAGCGCAGTGGCCACGAGATCGGTCATCGTGATGGAAACTTGAAAAATGATAAGTGACGAAAGGCAGTTAGTTTGTTATGCCGAAATGTTGGTACTATACGTATATGTATCTCTGCATAGTGAACGCAAGTCAAAATTCCGTTTACGTTGCCAACGGTGCCACCGCAATCCGCGTTCACAGTGCATGATTAGTACAGCGCCATTGCGTCGTAATAAGTACTTGTAGTACTAGTATGTAGTAGTAGTCACTAGGGAACACAACGACAACGTTGCGCTTTTGAGTTGCTCCTGCGCACACAACATGATTGGCATCACCATGCTGTTTATATATATTGTGGAGTACTACTAGTAATCGCGATGGGTCTGGACTTGGCGAATTAAAAACCTGGACCATATATACTCTTTGAAATCCATCGATTGAGCACATTATTGTTGTACTCTATGCGGTTGAAAATGGCTTCACATTATGTATGTCCCTGTGTGAGCTGCACCGTGCATCATATTCATCCCACCTGACGCGGCCGGCCGCCGTTGGGTCTGCAGGGGGTCGACCATTGGAATATCCCATCGCATACTACGCATGTGTCCCCATCGATCGAGTGACAGACAAGTGCATTGTCTGTATGCGGTGGCTCGTAACTCGTTTGGTTGTACCTAGTGCATTGGATACGTGGTGCTTCAAAGTTTCCATTGATGTACGTACAAGTAACAACGTTCCCTTAAGGCTCAAGTGTTGGGCATCCGACGTCGAGGCAGCCACTGCGTCGCATACTTCAGCGTACATGGTTGTCACTTTGTATCGGAGGCACCATCATCACGTTGATCATGGCTACAGTACTGGTTGGTACATGTGTCTGGTGGCGCTATGCTCGTGCTGTTCACGGTTATTTGAAGTTACCATTTCGCGCGGAAATATACCCAATCACAGTCGGGTATTTCGGTTCCGCCAATGAAACAAGCGCATGTTCAAATTGCGGAACGATGATGGAACCTACCAAGCGCGCACGAACGACGGCGGCGTCGCCCAGCGGGGATCATGTCACGCGTACCACTTCGTGGAGCTCCAACATGCCTACAGCGTGCGAACTGAGATCGTTTGGACTCGAAGGCAAGGCGGAAGCGCTGGCGACGGCACGACACACATGGTTTGCCGACATGACCAAGTGGCGCGAACAAGCCTTCAAACACATCGAGGCGCATGAATCAAGGGGACACATGCAGCAAAAGCAAAAGAACTTTCGACGGCAGATGCTCCACCTGTCCAAGTAATGCACGAACTTGAATGCTCTGTCATTGCGAAGGCCTCCTCTCAGTACTTATCGTCAGATCCTCGACCTTGGATAATGATAGGTCGAAACATCAGTGCCACGATTTGATGGAAAGTGGAGAGTTCCAAGGCATTGGTGATACACTTATTAGCATGCGATGCATTGCCCTGTGCATCCTTGTATATAGTAACACAGTTAATATTCTAGTTTTAAAATATATATATGATATATCGGTAGAAATGGCAAATATTTGTTTTCGGTATATTTCCATGGAGTTATCCGGATCACTACGGAATTGTAGCCCTTCGATTAATTTGGATTTCGACATGAACTCGCAGGTCCAGCAACAGCTCCTCAATGCAGTGGGCAACCAAGTGTTAGAGTCTCTGCATGCACAGGAAGAGAGGCTGGATGCCGAGATCAAGCAGCTTGAGAGGATGGAGGAAGACGATCTCGACAAGCTGCGCGAGCGACGGCTGCGCGCGCTGAAGTCCGCCGCGGCGCAAAAGCAAGCGTGGAAGAACGCCGGCCACGGGAGTTACTCGGAGCTGTCAAACCAGCAAGAGTTCTTCGACGTGATCAAGGACAGCGAGTGCGCCGTCGTCCACTTCTACAACGCCACCAACGCGTACTGTCCCATCATGGACAAGCACTTGACGGCCCTCGCCGAGTCGCATTTGGAGTCGCGGTTTTGCCGCATGAACGCCGAAAAAGCCGACTACCTCGTCCAGAAGCTCGGCATCTGGATGATTCCGTGTGTGGCGCTGATCAAGAACAAGAGCGTCGTGCACATGTTGCAAGGACTCGACGAACTCGGCGGCACGGACAACTTCAGCACCCACTTCCTCGCGTACTTTCTATCGACCAAGAACGTGCTCAAGTTTGATGGGACGCCGCCCGAGAGTGTCACCGACACCGGCGTCGACGGACCCAAGCCCGCTGGCCCCATCAAGCAGTCCGTGTTCGACTACAACAGCGACGACGACGACTACGACTAACTAGCCAACTAATAACGTTAGCTCCCTGTTTGTACGTACACGAGTGTCTCTTATGCACACCGCGGCGCATGTCCGCATGTTCCATGGACTTGGCCGTTGTCGTGGCGGCGTAGGTACCTGTAGCAACATCACAATACAGCAGCATCCCTGGCATCCCCGCAGTAATACGACCAGCGATGGACAGTTGGTAGTGGTGATATTATTGCTTTCAGGACGAGCCAATGGCCAAACTGTGGGTTGGTTTACTGTTAGCATAGTTACAACGACTTTTCGTTTTCGTAGTCGATGAGGCGTTGGATGAGGTCGTTCTTTTGGCCTTGGATGGACAACCCTCGTTCCTTGAGGTGGTCCTTGAGCGCGTTCGGCTTGAGTGCCTTGATCGCACGCGCGTCCAGCGCTTCGTCGTCGCCACCCTTCACAGACACCTTGGCAGCTTTCTTGGCCAGTTCCGCGGCCGCTTCTTCTTCTTGCTTCTTACGGAGGGCAGCGTCTTCGCGGCGCTTCTTCACTTCTTCGAGTCGGCGAATATCGCGCTTCGCTTCGTCCGTTTGACCGGCCAAGTGGCGCTTCATGTAGTTTGCAGCCTTAGCTTCCTTCTCGATCGCCTCGCGCTCTCGTCGGGTCAGAGGCTGTGCTTCGGCGTTCGGGTCGATGTCCTTGGCCTTGATCGCCTTGGTCGACGCAAAGTTGGGGTTTTGGACCTGGATGATGCCCGCCACGCCCTTGGGCTTGGGCACTTTCTTCTCCTCTATCTCGTCCTCCTTTTCTTCGACGATGCGGTCAAACACCACGCCGTCCGCGTCCTCCTCATCGTCGTCCTCGTCGTCGGACTCTCCGTCGTCCCGTCGCACGCGACGCTTCTCCTGACGGACCTCCTCCACGACATTGCGCGCTTCGAGCTCCTCGGCACTGGTGACGAACTTGCGGTTTCCGCCCTTGAGCGAGTTGCGCTTGGACGACTTAGCCTTCTTCGCTGCGGCGTCGCCTTTTCCACTCATTATCAAATTCGAATTTGGCGGAGAATGCCGAGAAAACCTCTCGCAACACATACTTTGCCCCTTTTCCACCAGTGAGAACAAGACCTGTGAGAATGCATGTCACGATTGTGCGCGGCACTTTCTGGTGCTTTCAAGTGTGAAGAATGAAGGTTAAGTACATCGATCTCAGGATAATCTAAAGTCTACTGGTGATGGCCCCTTATACTGCTGTATAGTAGTGAGCGCTGGCTAGTATTGTTGTCTTTACTACGTAACTTAGTATATTCTAAACTGGAGCGACATGGACAATGAATCGACATAACCAAATGTACGCAGAAGAATTGAGCCAATCAGAATGTAGTAAACCATATACTAGTACTATTGTAGTACCACACTTTTTTACATT